CGTTACGCTGTGCTGTGTTGTGTTCAAGGTTGAAGTGTTTAATAGTTAACAATATACCAAAACACATTTTATAAAAGCTGATAAAGCCAACAAAACTACCAGTATAGAGCAACACAAGTGCACACAGTGTAACCGCGTTTTGATCGTTCACTTTGGATTTATTAACGCTCTGCCACGGGTCTTCTTTTAGCCCCGGCGAGAACTGATTAGTCGAACTCTGATCGAATTTGATTCTTCACACGCTCCAATTAGTTCTAGCCAAGCGGGTCAGCGCTGACCCCGATGTGAAAATTACCGTTTGGGATATAAAAGACGGAAAAACTGAGAATCGCTGAAGAGAGAGAGAGAGATGGGGGAGAGAAACAGGTCGGCTGGAAAGAAGTGATGTCCTCCGAGCAAGTCACATCACAACCAAATTAAGAACATTACTGATCCATTAGGCCCCGCCCACAGCGCACGTGGGCAACACGCACGTGCGATTCTTCAATGCCACACTGCATTTCAGCTGCGCGCGTCATCCGCGCGTACACGCATGTCGGACTTTTTGTGCACGCGTGTCGGCCATTAATCACAGCTGTGATTGGTCAACACGTAATTGGGCGGGGCTTAATGGATCGGTCCATTTGGACGGGGAGCGATAACAAGTAAGTTAAAGGTATAGTCCATCATTTGTAATTTGTGCATTTTGTTCGTTTGAAGCAACAAAAGAGTTCAAAATCTAATGAAGGATACTGAGCAACTAACCTGATGAAGTTTCAGCTAAGCTTCAGCTGTACATTCCGAGAAAAACAGCATTCTAAGATCTCAATTTCAAATCAAAAGTTGCTGAATCATGTTTTGAATTGTTTTGAATTGCAACTATACGCGACGTCGCGCACTGATCCGACGAATTATAACAACCGCGCGCGCGTATGCGTCGTTCGAATACTTGTGCGCGCTTCGCTGAATAACAAAACAACTACTAATTTAAATTTTCCTACGGTGCTTCTTAAGAATCACCGTTGGAAATGCCTTCTTTCGTTGATTACTTCAAAATGACAGCTTCCCAGAAAGAATAATTTCACAGGGAGTTTAGTCCCCTTACTATCTTTCAACCAAGTTAGTTTTTCAACAATAATTACGCCAGTTACTTCTCGGATGGCTGCAAATGATGGACTCTACCTTTAACCTACTTTGATCCAGGCGACTTGGAAGCCGAGGTGTTTATGTGGGCATTACTTGCTCCACTTTGCCTACTAATTGAATTCAAGTGCAAATGTGGCAATTTGCTGTATGTACAATTTCTCCATCAATTCTTTTTACTTTTTACGATCGTGTGCGCGTACCTTTTATTTTTTTCTCGGCTACAATTCCCCTCAGTAATTGCAATACATGTATTTTCACTCACGACATTATTCACTTGCGTGTGGCATCCACTATACTACAAATATTCTCCAACTCAAATGTTAACACTGTTTGTTGAGCCAAATTATACAGTGTTATAATATGTTTACACCTCATAGTGTATACACTAAATAAATACCTTCTTATATCAGATGGTGCTACACTCACACCGAATAGTATCTATACATTTGACAGTGTTGTGAAAACTATATATGGTGTTTGTTGTGAGCATGCCGGATGGTGTTAAACAAATTCCTTGTTGTTTCCATCAGATACTGGGTTAATGAAATACTACACGGTGTTATTTTCATACCGATGGTTATTAATTGTCACATTATACTGACGTCGCCAAGGGGGGGGGCAGGGGGGCACGTGCCCCCCCTGGAAAACCTAGTGCCCCCCCCCCCCCGAGTGCCCCCCCCCCCATCAAATGCTGGTGCCCCCCTATCCTCTGCAAAATTCTGCGCGTTGTTAAAATCATTACCTCAAAAATAGCAATTTCTTGAGATATCTTCAGATCGAATTTAGCATCAAATGTGGCACCATTTTGCATCTAGCCCATCCTCCGTATGCGAAAATTTTCCAAAGGGGAGGGGGGCACCCTTAGACCCCTCCCCCAGGACGGCGATCCGTATCCACCTAAGTGCCCCCCCCCCCCATCAAATGCTGGTGCCCCCCTGTGCCCCCCCAGACTGAAAAGTCTGGTGACGCCACTGCGCAGAACGCGCTCCCCAGCTACCGTGCGGTGCGACCGACCCCCCCCCCCCCCCCCCCCCATCCCCGTTCGTACGTTCGGTCGTTCCGACGCTCAAATAGCTTGGGGCGCATGCATGCAAGCCCATCACTGTACAAGCGCGTCAACAAAAATGACAGAATAAAAATCCATTTGAGAAATGACCAACGATTTGCCGCCTGAGGTCAGGACTGTGGAAAAGTATGCATTTGATCTGTAGGTTCACGCCACGTTTCTTCTAAAGTGAACAAGTGTGAAGCTAATGTGTAGAGAAGTTGTAGATCAAAATTGAAGGATTTTTGTGCTTACCAAGAACACAGGTGTTACGTGTGCTTGGCATAATATCTGTGTGAACTTAAACAAACCCAAATGTTTGGTAGACGTATAATGGTTGCAACGTGTTGGTTAATTATGCGGAAACAGGCCGACTAAACCATGACCAATACAACCACTGTTCGCCTCATGTTCCATATATCAGTATAGAGGAAAAATTTCAATTTCACACTATGTGGTTCAACCGCATGGTGTGAAATTGAAATGTTTCCTCTATACTAATATGAAACATGGGGCGATTGTTTTTCTTTAAGAAATTAAAAATTGCGCATCGTCACAGTCAAGTTCCTTCATCAGGATGCAATTCTAGCTTGATGCGTCCCGTCATGCTTCGTGACCAACACCAGATCCCTCTGCGCCATTCTCAGATGACTGTCATAACAAAGTGACCGAAACGTCGAGTTAAAACCTGATTCCTCTTTAGACCACTCCTCCTTTACGAATTTATGTTCTCTTCACCTAATGTATCCGCAATTTCCTCCCAACTTAATTAGCACCGGGTCTCAAAATGTTAGTGTGTCTCGGTACAGGCTTCTGCTAAGTACAAAATTGTATAAATTATCATTTATCAGTCGGGTTTTTCGGTCTCTTCTTTTCCTTTTGTATAAACCTACCTTTGTGATTATATAGTATCATTGAAATTACTCAAGTTACAAATATTCACACTTTTCACAAATTCAAGAACGCTAAAAAAAATGGCCCACGTAGGCTGCGCTGTATGCTTACCTAAATACATGCAACAATCCCTTTTGTAACTTTGTAAGGAGTTATTAAAAGACTGTGCTACAAGACCGTAGTGCGCATACACATCTTTCACCTCATAATGCGATTTCATTTATCAAGAATGATAAATAGCATAAAGTAATAAACTCTCAGCAACAGGCCATCCTTTGGTGCTTCAAGTTGACTTATTAAAGACAGCGCCTTCCCCCCCCCCCCCCTCTTCGTGGCAAACCAGGGCGCGTCAAACCCTTGACCGTTCGAGTAAAGTCCTCTAGAACGGACGCACGATGATTAATATGCGAGTTCTGGGGCAATATACGTTCGTTTGGTCATCACAGCGTATAGAAACAGATATGGTCACTGCAAATCACCTCTTTGCGCTCTTGACGTGGCTTCTAATTAAAGGGGGGACACGATACAGAGATGTAACAAATTCGTTCGTAAATTTTACAAACTGTCTTCTTGGTCAGCAATCAAAATGAAGGCCGAGTACAAAACAGACATAACAAACAAAATTGGTAAACAATCTTTTATAATAGCTAGTTTGCACTGCAAAATCTTTGAGGTGTGTGTTTTTGTTCAACAGGGATACGCATGAGCAGTGTCAAAACACACCTCCAAGATGGCCGCTGAATGCAATCGATCGGTAGCTTGAGGGCGCCTGTTCCATCAAGAAAAGAAAAACAAATTGAGCTGAATTTATAAAAACCAGAGGGATGCAACTTGGGTAAAAAAAAACGTTCCACAGAGAGTTTCAATTCGTTCAACAACAACTGTCCCCTCCCTCTTCTAAATCAAATTAAGGTCAAATAAAAACAAACAGAATTGAGGGCCCTTCTCACTATCTTCAGGACGCCTTTTCTATCCAAAGAAAAATACCTTCATCGTTTAACCGAAGGGAACTCCGTCAGCTCCAGTAAATATTGCACATTAACACTCGAGCTAGATATAGGGTCTGTTAGATTTCTGTTTTGTCTGTATCAACCGTTGAATAAGTTACCACAATTCTAGAAAACATTTCAATTTTTAGCTGTCACTTCTCGAGAGTGGAGATCATCACATCGAACACGGGCAATTTATAGCAGTATCGCCTTTCCGGAATCGAGATGCCGAACGTGCAGGATTGAATAGAGAACGATTTCTAGATCTGGGACATTAACCTAGGATTTTTTCTCAATTTGTTAGTCGTCTTTTACTTACGCTGTTGCCTGGCTTTGCAAGGCGCATGCATATTTTGCAGGGCAGTGCTTTAGTGCTTGCTCTTTTGTTTTTAGCTTCTGGCAGACTCCGATCGGCGCAAAACCAGGTCAGCTAGATATAAAAACAATCGGCCACAAATTCGGTCAACATCTTTTGAAAAATTGCGCATCATTTTTTTTGACAAAGTGGTTTTCGTCAATATGATGCATTAGTGCCTAAGGGGAAAGTGGGGAAAATATGAAGAAAAATATCAGCGGGCAATGTGATGCTAGGATAAGATAAGATCGTAAACAGCAAAAAAGGGGACATGTCCCGTGCCTTCTTGACGACCCAAAACAGGTCGGAGAAGTTTTTAGCCCAACGGCGCGTGAAATCAATTTATTCCGGTAACAAGAATCCGAGAAAATGAATTAGACAAGAGCAACATCCTGTGAACGAAGGATTAAATTATGACAAACTGTCTAAAACAATGACAAATGGTGGGACTGGGAATAACAACTGAGTTGTTGTGACACATGGAATTGAAGCAGGGCTGTTTTTTTTCGGGGATACACAACACATTTTGATAATGAAATTTTTCTCACACAGAACAGTTTGTTTTGACTCGATATTGACACATCAGGGCACAAATTCTCAAATTTGCTATGTTTCTTTATTTGGATCACTAAATTTTGAGTCCACAACGCAAACAATGTTACAAAATAAAATAATAGAATACTGTAATCTGAGGTAAGAGATTTGAAATGCCACTAAACTTTTTTGAACAGTTCGGAGAAATTACACACTGAAATGATTCATTATGCAAATTAACTATTGGATTATTATACAGGTCCATCTTATGCCAAACGGTGCTTGGAATAATGTAAAGCAGGGTGATATTTGTAAGGGTTTTTTCCTGATTTTAGGATCATTTGTGAGAAATTCTTCCGATTGCAGGATTTTGTTTAACGAATCTCAATTGAAATTTGGAATTCCTGTGGTTTTACCGTAAAGGTGCTGGGGTCCTTGGCAACCCTCAACCAATTATTCCAACGGTTTTCGTTTCCTCCAATTTTACCCGTTTCAGAGATTATCTTATACAAAACATTACTTTGAGAATTATGACAAGTACCAATAGGTTTTACAAACTGATAACAGGACAAATTTAATTACAAAGATTATAAAAATAGTTCTTTTATTAACGATGACAATTCTTTCAAAACTTGCCTCAATGTTACGTTTTAACGCCAATTTCTTTCTGTGCTTCATTTTTCACTTCAACCCAAACGATTGTTTGGCGAAATATAACCACTATAAAAACTACAATGATTTCAGGCTTTCATACGTGATTATATGTTTATACATAGCTTTGGTGATCCAAATTATACCAGCTTCGGCCCTTATTCTTTGACAATGTTTGGCTTGAAGTTTCCAGACACAGCTTCTGCAAGTTCCTTGGCGTACATGTCATAGCGACCAGTCATCTAGGTTATAGAGGGGAACAAATTCGAAAAATAAATAAATATAAAGACGAATCAATATTAATTGAATTCAAAACCATACAAAGCAAGACCAAACATAAATAGTTGTTAAACGTTCAAATAACTTTATTTCCTTAATTTTTGAAAATGGTAACCGAAGGTAATCCAGGGTCGCAGGTTCAAACCCGGCTCCAAAATTTCTTTGTTCATCATTTTTCGAAATGATTCCTGTTAATCCCCAAGTTTCTATTTTGTTCTCTCCAGAAATGTCCTAATTTATTTTCATTGAAAAACTGACTCCTATTAACAATTCCAAGTCCCCACCCACCCAAAAAAAAGACAAACTGAGTCTAGAACCATGTCTGATCAAGAGACACATTAACTGGAAAAAGTTGACAAATGGCTCCCCCACCCTTCCCATTTTATTCTTGCAGCATTGCTAATACATCATCACTTCGGGCTTGATCCCTGGCAACATGGCAAATACGGGTTTATGGCTTCTGACTAGCGCCCTTGAACAAAGACATTGACAAAATAGGGAACCGCCGACATAGGGCTGGATAGCTCAGTTGGCAGAGCACCGGAATGTGAATCTGGAGGTCGTAGGTTCAAACCCTTCAAACCACATTTTTTTTTACCTGGAAGCTCCAACGGTCTCTGATTTGGCGTACAAGGTTCAGATCCACCTCAGCTACTAGCAAGCCATCCCTTGTACGAGACAATCCCTGAAACACAGATTCATACACTTTGATTCTGTCAATTCCACCAATTAAACCCTAAATGATATCCACATTGTTCCACAGTCCCTGCCCTGGCTTTTACCTTTCAAAATTGTATTTCTAAGAAATCAGCATTTCTAAAGGTCATACTCTTGAATAGGAACACTATTACTTATAACGATTACTTAAATGATGTCAAAGACTACTTTTTACAGAATCCACATTTCATGCTACACTGGCTCGAGATTTTCTACCCCAGGTTTCAGCCAGGTTAACAAAATGCAAGTGTGAACAGAATCACAATGTCAAGGGTCAAGATTTTATTTAACAGAGTGAACTAATGACCTTAACTTTGTCAGGACCCTTCCCGAGTCCTCCAAAATATAACACATAGTGCAGAAACCAATGGCACATGCTTAATACATGTATCTAAACTGTCACAGGACATGGATCCCATTTAATTGATGAGTGGGCTTGTCCCTCTACACTACAAATCCTTCAAAATCAAAAGTTAATGAAAGTGATTCCTTACCCTGGTACGGCTTCCATCAGGAGCAGCCACATAGCTGGAACCATAGAATGCCCCAAAATCCTTGTGAGCTGTGACAGATTGAAAAAAAGTTAATGATGATTTGTGTTAAATTAACTCAACTTGTTATCCCCATGGGGAGACATTGGGGGATGGTGTATTCTTGGAACATCATTTGATACCAAGCCGATCATAAAATCGGCTTCAATTATGCATTTACATCTAATTTAAATCTAATTTGTATTAGATGTAAATCTAAATTACTCTAAATTACAATCTAATTCATTAATTCAAAAGTCAAACAGTTTACTCTCAAAAACAGTTTTCTATCAAACAAGTGCCTTCATCTTACCTTTCTTCCCATCGCCAGAGGTGAACTCATTTTCAAAAGTCTCCTGTAAAAAAACAAAAACTTAATAAGTGTCATCCACAAAGTCGGGCTGATCCGATTCTTTCCTTTAAAAGAAACTTTGCTGCAAAAAGACCCATCACCTAAAAGCTTGCATTTCTAATTATAAATATTCCGACCCTTACCCAAAGTGTCCATCATGGTGCTGACCCTTCCCACAACCAACTCCTTCCCTCCCCCGACACTTTACAATTTAACTATGCTATCTCTAGGGTTCCAAGCACGAGAAACCCCCAAAAATTGAGAAGTGCCAATATTACTGTGCAACTTTAGTCTCCATCTAGACTGCATTGGTTCTAAGACGTCCTAGGGTGCAATGTTTCAGCATGCATGGGTTAGTGGAAGGCGCAGCGATTCACCAAAGCGGGCCCCCAAACAAGTTCATTAACAAAATCAGGTTTGCGGGTGGGAACAGAACGCACGCTGCCAGGGAAAAGTGACATGCATGCTGCTGCTTAGTGGTGTATGTACAAAAGTATCATCGCTTGTGAATAATCCCGCTAAGAACGTCTTGCACCAAGACTACATCTGGAGCTAAGATTAGCAACTTACCGTGCCCACGCGGTTGATCGCGGCAGTGAAGTAAGTATTGGCAATGGCGGCGGTGCGTGCTTCCAATGGCCACATAGGCTCACTGTGGGCGAGAAAAACCAACAGAACAATCCAGGATGAGGAGGTTAACATGCAACAAACCACCTTTACAAAGAGTTTTAAGGAGATAGGTTGGTACAGTGTTTACTTTCATCATCTTCCACCTCTGTGATCTAGGTTTGAATCCATTTCAGGCCAATATGTGGATTGTGTTTTAGTCCCTATTTTCATTCACTGGATTTTCCTTAAGAAACTTGTTCTTGGATTTTCTTCCAACCTCTACAAAATATTTAACATTAATTTGTTTGCTTTTCTCCACAGGTTTCTTCAGGCTTGTGTGCTACAGCGCCATAATGCTCTTGAGGTATCCTTGGATTCATTACCAGAAACAACAAAACTGACATCAATTTCATATTGGGATTTTCCCTTCGTCAACGTATTTTATAAATACTGTATAACTCAGCAAAAATTCACAAGCTAAATGTTATCTTTTTGTCTATTAAGTAGTCAATTCTCAAAGTCAGTTGGCAACATTTGACCGAGTTTGTTCACATTTTTTTTTTTACGAGAGTCTGAAAAACCGTCCATGCCCTCAAATAAAAAACTTATAAACCTCAATGCTCCAACAGTTGCCGATGGGTTGAAGACGATCTCGGCTCCATTCAGACCGTACATGAACCAGTTCAGAGGGTGGTGGCGACCATAGCAGATGTTGATACCAATACGACCTACGACAACAAACGATTATTCTATTTAATGAGGAAGTTTCATTTTGACTGGTTACAATTTTGAACGGTCTAAGAAGTCTGGTCTTAGAGTCTGCTCTGAGCAAAACAACCTGATACTCACCAAACTGTGTTTCAAAAACTCTGTGTCCTGTGTTGCCTTCCATGTAGTAGGTGGACTGTAACAGCACAAAAAGAAAGTCATTAAATTAAAGTCCAGAAAAGTTAAGGTGCTACTAAGAATTGTTAAGATGATTGTAAGGAACAGGTAAGGTGCTACTAAAAACAATTAAGGTGTTACTGAGGAATAGTAAGGGTGGTGTTATAGAACAATCATATGATGCTGTATCAACTGGGGAATAGTTAAGGTGCTGCTAATGAAAAAAACTGAATGTGTTACTGAGGAACAGGAAAGGTGCTGCTAATAAAAAGTTAAGATGCTACCGAGGAACAGGTAAGGTGCTACCGAGGAACAGGTAAGATGCTACTGAAGAACAGGTATGGTGCTACCGGGGATCACGTAAGGTGCTGCTTACGAACAAGTAAGATGCTACTGAGGAACAGGTAAGGTGCTAATAAAAGGAACAGTTAAGGTGTTGCCAGGAATATGTTGAATACCTCATTGAAATCTCCAATCCTCGGAATGTGGTTCTTACGAGATTTGCCCATCACAGCTCCACTGTTGGATATCACAACTATCAAAAACAGTCAGAAAAAGTCCAGGAATTGTTACAGGTTGTCCAATCAGGGGTGTCTATATTTGTAAACAAGTACTGTAATGTAACAAGTAATATAATATTATATAAGTTTGGGCAAATTGGTCTGACAAACCTGTAGTATTCCAGAGTATGTCGCTATGGATACTGTCTCTCTCCAGTATGGGTGACAGCACCACCATGTTGTGACGCTTCGCTAACTGACAGAGGAAAACAAAATGTGAAAAGACATTACCAGATTATCAATCAACTGTTGAAACTTGTGGCACACTAGGAAACAAGGAGAACTTAAGCATACAGTCCATACAACTTAACTTGTTTCTTGTATTGCATAAAAATCAAGCCCCATGTAATTATTCACTAGTCTCTAACTTCCTCAATCTTCCAAAACCTTGAGGTAGATTTTCAAGGATCTGGGAAGGTAAGAGTTGAGTCTTGGGTTCTGAAGTATAGGAGCCTTGCCTACTTCCTGACAGTACTTGGTTGTGGGTCCATCTTCTGCCGACTCGGCAAACTCACACCAAGGGACTTTCTCACGGGTGCAGAAGGCAAACGGCATAGCTGTGAGAGACAATGACATTATTAGTGAGGGTTGATTTGAAGAGTTGTCATCACAAGTCATCACAAGTCATAACAAGTCATCACAAGTCATCACAAGTCATCACTGGTGATCATAAGCTGCCACAAGTCATCATAGGTCAGTCATAAGTCAATAATAAGTTATCCAGGCTCAAGCCTTGCGACATGCTTTTGTCAGCGTTGATCCCAGTAGTTTAGACCTGACTTGTGACGTGGCTAGTGATAATTTAGTGATGGCTTATGATTAATGTGAGATTTAATTCGAGATTTGACTTTTGCTGGACTTGTGTTAGACTAATGATTGACTTGTGATGACTTATAACTGACTTGTGATTTGACTTTTGATTGACTTGTGCTAGACGTGTGCTAGACTTGTGATGACTTAGGATTTGACTTAGGATTGACTTGACTTGTGATAGCCATTGTATGTACTTTTATAAAACAAGACTGTATCACATTTGAATTAATGCGTTTGCAAGTCGCATATGTTGAAATGATGGAACTGCAAATGACAGAACCTAAAAAACAGGTAAATCTAGACATAAAATGTAAATCCATTTTTTTTATAGGATTTTTAAACTTACTCCATGCCTCCTGAAAGCATATGACATTCACGCCACACTGGCCTGCAGCTTCAACTATCTCTCCAATACGGTTGTGTAAAGCAGCCACCTGTGGGGGGGGGGGGGACAAAAATTGATTTCAAAATATATTTGGGAGGGGGAAGCTGGACCTTGTTTGACACTAGGGATGGTATTTTCCTCATTTTGTCTTTTCTTACCTTTTATACTTAGGCCAAGAAAAACAACAAAAGATGTCTTGTCTGGCAGATTTTCCAAGATCGCGTATGGATTCTTCCATTTCCTCAACCATTTTGCTGATAATTTTGTGTTCAAATGAGTTGTCCTCTGCACTACCAAATTTTGGAACTTGCATATAGCTACAATTTTGTTGTGAACAATAAGAGGACAAAATATATATTGCAAATTATTTTTACAAAAAAGGGCATGATACTTGAAGTGGATTGGAAGAGAAAGCATGTTTTTGTTATTTACTTGGCAAACAACAAAAATGGATTATCAACACAACTTAGCCTCAATGTGAAATGAAGAATATTAAAAGAAACACATCTAATCTACCATACTTTACCTGGTCTTTAACAGGTGCTGATGTAGGCAACACAATCTGGTTTTGGACCAGACCGATGCGGACAATGCGAGGAGGGCGTAACTGCTCAGGTTTAGCCGAGATGGAATAACCGACCAACTCAAAGTTTCCCTCTTTGGCAAGGGCACGGGCTGCCTCCGGCAAATCCAAGGGTCTAAATGGAAATGATGTAACAAGCAAAGAAAGGTTATTATTAATTAAAACAAGTTATAATTAATTTGATAACTGCAATTTGACTTAGAACGACACCTTTCTGTGAAATCAGTAGTGAACTGTTCGCCAATTTAATTTGCTAATGAATAAAGTGGTTTTGCCTGGAAAGAAAAATGTGTCAAATTTAGACCCAGTAACTGGGGCACACTAGAACTCCTTTATTTCAAATTTTGGCCTTGGTTGGTCGTAAATTCGATAAACAAAAAAGGAGTTCTAGAGTATTACTATATCGCCTCAGTTACTGGGACTTGGTTTGTCTGAAAATTTGGGACTCTCACTTCTGGGTCTTGGCCCATGTCATACTGTTCTTAATTGAAAAATATTGTGGATGAAGATTCCAAAATAGCCTGCCTTTTTAAAAACTGTTGGGTATGCCTACACATTTTTGAAATAAATTATAGGGGCCTAGGCCTATATTTTTTTATAAATTAAAATCCTGCCGCCTTTAAGTTTAACATGTTTAATAATTATCCAAAATATGCCAACAAGTTACAATCACAACATGTACACCAAAATATAATAAACAGACAGAGCAATTACCCCAAACGAAAAGATCTAAAAAAAAAAATTCCTTGTTTTATAGCATGGTTACAATACAAAAGTTTAAAGTGGTGCGCCTGCTAGTGCTACTGCTGCTGCAGTGCTGGTTTTGAATGCCACACTAGTGCATATGCACTGCAGTGCCGGTTGTGCAAGCCAAAAGTACACACACACTTTTTCCCCCGACAAATCAAAATGTTTCCAACCCTGAGTTTTTCCCGTCTTGGCCGTAGATGATTCGCCGTGCCTCTGCCAATTTGTCGGCCGGTAAATGGTCCTCCAAAAGCCTCTCCAAACTCTCGATTTCTTCGGCCATTTTTGTAACCTTTGCGAAGAGAGGATCGTCCCACAAAAGTTCGAGGGTATGTGACTTAAGGATTCTTGGCAATGGCTTTATCGTGTGCCCATATCCACTGTGTACAAAGATAGCCGTAGCCCAAAATCGAAGGTCACGAAGTTGAGGACAGCAGCATTAAAATCCATGCACCTACGGTAGATTGTTCCCTTGGAACACTAAACTTGGTACTACAGACTTATTATCCATTTTTATTCTCCGTTGTTGATAGTTTTGGTCAAAAAGCAAATTTAAAACATAAGTTGTTCAATGAAATAAAATGAAAAAAAATTGTAGTTTCTAAACAGAGAGGAGTAATTGCAGAATACATGTGCCAACAGTGAAGAACAGTATTCCCAATTTAACTCGTTTTAGTCTATAAATCTGTAAAGATGCATGCAGCATGACAAGCAAGTTTACAATTTTTGCATCATGGGAAAAACATCCCACAACTCTATAGGTTCTACATCGCTGTGTCGGACTAGACTTGGACAAGTTTGCGGTGCGGATGAAGTTCAGTCAAGTGCTTGAACAAACCTGCAGGCTTTCGACTTCGTGTCCTCGTTATTGTGAGGTAATATTAAAATTTGGCAATTTTATTTTAGCCGTCGTGGCATTAGTTTACAGTGTTTGGATACGTAGCTTCTGCAGTGAAAAGCAGATAAACTTGGAAGGAAATGAGCTAGTGAGCATGATGAGGCCGGCCGAATGAGGGCGCTCTACAAAAACTATTTTGGCTGCAAGTGCAACTGCAAGCAAGGTGAATTTTAAAGGGAAAATACAACATTTGCAAACATCAAAAAATAAAACTACCAAATAATTTTGAAATACCTTGCTGGACTGTTAGTGAATGACAGTGTAAAGCATCCTGTAAAATCATGGCACCTGGTATACTGTCATTTTCAAGAAAAGTGGTATTTTTGTATCAATTTCCAACGCTGATCGGCCAATCAGCATTGGAAACAACTGGCTTTTTTTTCAAATACTGGCCCCAATTGACCATCGCACTTGTTTGCAATCGATTACAAACCTATTACGGGTACGAGCCAGCTAGACTGGTTCCCTGACCTTACAATTCCCCAATGTATGTAAACTGCTCTGTTTCTTCTTATATGGAGTCAGGGAACCAGACTACAGGAAAATGATCGTTTTTCTTGGTTTTTATAGCATTTTCGAACCCAAAACCTCAAAAAAGTCAGTGTAACTATATTTGCTATATAGGCCTATTTCCAACCCCCCAATTCCATCCATTTCTGAAAATTACACTGGGATTTACAGCAAAAGCAAATGATGTATATTCCCTTTAATTATTCTTGACTCTCCAAATTGTACACAACCTGGCCAATTTTGCTGGCCAATTTATTGCACTTGACTTGACAAAAAGAAGAATTTGACCAAGTTTTAAAATTAAGCAAAGAGCCAAAGTATTGTTTACTTTTGCAACTATCTTAAACAAACATTTGACTAAAAAGCCTGAAAACGGTGTTTTTCTGTTTTCACGAAGTGACAAATACTCACCTCGTTAGCAGGGCCACATGGATAATGCATTTCTCTACATACGTTTCTCTACACACGCGGTAGGATGGGAGTGGAGGCGCGCGCCGCCAACGATATCGATAGAGAACAGACGCGCGTGCGCTGCAGTGACGTAAGATGCGCAAATGTAACAATTTCTAAGAAGTTTTTTTTACTTTACGAAGTGACGAAGAGTGTGTACAATGTAATGAAGTAAAGAATACACGAAGTGAAGAATACATGTCATTCTTTATTAATGAATTATTGCTTAATTAAAAGAGACTTTGATCAACACCTTTGATTTAGCAAAGAACAAGGCATACGTTACCTGACAATGCAAAAATTTCCCTCATCTAAAGTAGTTGAAAATGTGTTTTGAAAAAAGGATTAACTCCAAATGCGATTATCTCAGGGTGAGCTTTTTGTAGGATATTGAGGTTTTTGTCACTTTGTGAAAACACCGTCAAAATGTAGGATAAAACAATAAAGGAACAAAAGTTGTACTTTATTTTTGGGGGGGGGGGGAACGTACACAGCTGTAGGATATTGAGGTTTTTGTCACTTCATGAAAAAACTGTCAAAATGAAAGATAAAACAAAAAAAAGGAACAAAAGTTGTACTTCTTATTCAGCCAACTCTAGCTTGAGTAACTCCAGCTCCAATGCTCATCAAGAATTCAACATAAAAAGAGCTGGAACTAAAACTATGTTGTAGATATAAATTACTAGATACTAAGAGACCCTAAAAAATGGGACTCTCTGTATCTGTATCCCAAAAATGGTCCTTTCCCCTCTACTATCCCAAGCCAGATTCCATTAAACATACCTCATTATGTTTAGGCCCTAATTAATGGAATCTGAGTTGGGATTGATAAAAGGAAAAGGATCATTTTTGTGATGGAGAGAATCCCATTATAAGACCCTCTTAGGATAATTTTAGCTCCAGTTCTGTAATTCAAATTCCTGATAGGTCAACGCCTGACAAAACTAGGGTAATCTTCTTTGTTCATATAGAAGCAGTTAATTTGATATGGGTTGGAGGTTTCATTGTTGTTTACTACAAAAGGAATTAGTTTTATCTCCAGCTCTATTATGTTGAATTCCTGATGAGCATTCGGGCTGGAGTTGCTCAAGATAGGTCATCACCTGATGACAAAACTAGGGCAATCTTCTTTGTTCATATAGTAGCAGTTAATTTAATATGGGTTGGAGGTTTCATTGTTGTTCACTACAAAAGGAATTGGCAGCTGTGTTCCCATAAATTGTATTTTGTACGCTCAAGCGTAGGCTGGGTATAAAAAGCCTTGCAAAAGAATGAAGATTGTCATTCCTTCTTCAGCCTCTGCTCACTACACCAGCGTGTTATATTCAGTTTGGCTTGCCATGTGGTCTGGGGCGTGGCTCAGGTACATAGGCCTATAGACAGCAGTTATAGAAATTATTGTACATGTACAGTACATGTACCCTGAATGACCAATGCTTGGTGGATGTCTGAATAAGGTACATCTTTTTATTGATATCAATTTATATTAATACATGCATCATGTTATATTTAATTTGGAATTGTTGTTTGAACTGCCATAGTTTAGTCTTAATAAATAAACGAAATGTATTGCTTATATTTGGTTTGTTGGAAAATGCTGGATGTTAAACTTGTTAATTTATTCTCCTACAGGCTACACCCTTATCCCCAAAACTGGGTATAGTCCCTAGTTAAGTTCATATAATTCATTTTACTTTCTTGTCATAGATCCTTGCAATTAATTTGTATTTAATAGAAATGTTTCATGACTCAAAGTCTGAGTAAAAATTAATTAAAACAATTGTATTAGTTGCAAACTCTCAGAGAGTGGTTCACTGTGGCGTTGTTTCTTTAGTTTCTTTAGCCGGGACGAATTTGCCTGTCAGCCAGAGTCCAATTTAAATTTCAATGTTTAGTTTTTCAAATGTCACATTTCACTCTAACCATACATCAGTTTGACTTGTTGATATTTTAACCTCTCAGCAGGTGTGATGCAGCACAGTCAGCCTTCCACAGTTTAACCCAAGTCAGAGGATCGCAAGATGAGGCTTCTCAAGGCTGCCGCGGCTTGCCGTGTGCTCTGCTCTCGTCTCGACCACTCCTTCAGTCACGTCATCAGACATCAAGGGGTTCTAGCCAAGGCGGTCCGGCCTACATTATGCCGGGGGCTCAGGGTATCTGCAGTCCTAGAACAGAAACGAGCCGTCATATTTGACTTGGGAGGGGTCGTCATTGCAAAGCCGGGACCAATATTTGCAGGTGAGCTTCGGGTGTACGAACCGGTACCATTTTATGAATCGAATTCAGTTTCAAATAAAAATGTACTAGAAATTAAAAACTACAAAAATCATTTTACAACTGGGCTTCAAAATCTGTATAAGCGACTCAAGTCCACCCAAATAGATTTTTTTTTCTTCAGCCAGTTACGTGGTGTAATCTCAAACTATACTCTCCAGTTTCCTTGGCATGAAGTGACTGAGGATATCTCTTTCCCCCTGGATGGGATGCCAGTTCAACTCGGGGTACTGCCCAGCTAATGCTGGTACTCTCCTGGGTGGAGGGAAGCAAGTGGGAGTAAAGTTGCTTGCCCAAGGACACAAGTACCCAACAGCTGGATTTGAAACCCTGAACCCCTGATCATGAGTCCTTAACTCTAACCACAAGTCCAAACTCCCCACTAGACCCAACAGAACCAGTGTTGTTTTGAGATTCTCTCAAGTTCAAAAAATGTTGTGCCTTTGCAGAGTTTGAAGCCCAGAAAGGACTTCCCCCAGGAACCATCTTGAAGGTTATCAGGGAGACGGGTTATACAGGGGCCTGGGTACAAGTGATGCGAGGAGAGATCACAGCGCTTGAGTTTGATGAACTGTTCACCCAGGAATGCAATTCCTTGGTAATCATTAAAGGTTTATTTGGTGAACGCCACCTCTGTTTACCTACATTTGAATATTAGCGCTCAAACATTCGCTGAAATTCCTAAAAATCCAAAGGGATTTTCCATTTTAGTAAGAAAACACTCGCCTCTGTTTACCATCCTTCCCAATTTATAAAAAAAACTAGGAGTAAACATGAGTCTTAGTGTAACAGGGCTATTTAAGGGACATGTAGTGGGCGATGGAGCGTGTTTCTGATAGGGTCTGTCGACCAGTGTGAAGTTATGACTTCATTTGCTCATCCAAACCATCTTAGATCCAAAAAAATAATACTTCTGCTTTCGGTTACCCGACCTACCCTAGTTTTATGGCCGCGACCCTAAAATATTTATCAGCAAGTTAACAAAGATTTGTTAAAAATGTTTTAAAGAAAAAAATATTAATATTTAAAAAAAAAATACAAAAATTCCTTTTCTGTTTTCACAAAGTGCACCCACGTCCACAGATGTACCCATGTTAAAAGCACCCTTAGCATGTATTTTTTTTAAAATGACAGGTAGGATACACAGGTCTAGTAACCGGACTTCTGACCTACTACGAAGAGAAGGCAAGCAAGCCATTGCCTGAGATGGTCACAGCCGTCCAGTGTATTCGGGCCGAGGGGCTCAAAACAGCTATACTGACCAATAACTGGAAGCACGATGGTTCAGTCACATCGCTCTTCCCGGTTGAAAAACACCTGTTTGATGTGGTAAGCCCCTACAATATTTGCTTGGCCAAAACAGGTTATCAGACGCATTGTAATGTATCCCGATAGACAAGTCCTGGTTGCATTTGGTTTGCCCAACAGGTGGTGGAGTCCTGCCGAGAGGGCGTGGCTAAGCCAGACCCAGCCATCTATCAGATATGTCTAGATAGGTTACAGGAGAAGCCAGAAGACAGTCTCTTCCTGGACGATCTGGAACCCAACGTGGAGGGGGCTAGGAAACTGGGGATTCAGAGTATCAAGGTAAGGCTGTGTATCAATTAATTGGTTACGGCTTGCAATTATACATGCCTCTGTGGAATTGACCACCAATTGACATTTGTCACCAATTGACCTGCTCAACGATATCCACAGGTTGACAACACTCAGCAGGCTCTAGCTGAACTTGAAGAGATACTCCGGTTTCCTGTGCAGTGTCACGTCGAAGGCACATCGGCTGTCCGTAAAGGCCTAGAGCTGCCCCTAGAGTCACTCCAAGCTTATCTCAACTCTATCAATATCGGGTAAATGTACAATTTACAATTTTCAAATTCATCACAGATTACCATCTAGCATACACAGATGTGGCTGGTTTATACTCAAGTTTGTGATGTCACATCAAGTATTCGCACTGCAAATTTGAGAGCTGTATCCTAGCTTTTAAAAGTGCTAGTGTTGCTGGCATCATGACTTGCGGTTGATCCTTGGCCACATGGCACAAATGTTTTTTTTGGCTTAAAACAAAGACATTGACAAATTGGGAAATTTCCAACTTATGACTGATAGCTCATTTGGTAGAGCACTGGTACAGTGTTCGAGAGGTCTCGGGTTTTAATCCTGCTCCAGTCACTTTTTTTGCACAGCTGGATGTTGATTTCAAGAGAATCATCACAGTTCATTTGATAAATTGAAACATTATGGATCTGATGCCTCGTTACTAGCTCTAGTGATGACACCGCCCTCAACGTTCGTCAGTTCAAACACGGCCAGTCCAACCCGACATACTACGTCAGCTACGCAGGCAGGGACATGGTGTTACGTAAGAAACCGCCGGGTAAACTGTTGCCATCGGCCCACGCCATTGAACGAGAATACCAGGTCATGAAGGCATTGGGTGGTGCCGGGATACCGGTTCCCAACCTACTGGCACTCTGTGAAGATGATAGGTGGGTACCAGCCAAAATTGTACTTTTTTTAGCCTTCTTTTTTGTCCTGAAGTTACAGTTTAACAAACAAACAAAACAGGTAAACCACCAGTCCTTTTGTTGAATTTTTTTCTCATTGTAGTGTTGTAGGAACACCCTTCTATCTCATGGATTTAGTCAAGGGTCGCATCTACAAAGAACCATCCCTGCCCGGTTTGCAGCCCTCCGAGCGACGGGACATCTACGATGCAATGTGCGGTGCCCTGTGTTATATCCACGACGTGGATATACAGAATGCTGGCTTGGAAGGCTTTGGCAAGCAAGGTAACAGACTATTGGCAGCAGCCATCTTTGATTCTCCTTTTGGGACAAAATGAGATGCTGGGTGTTTACAAAACCTCAAAGGTGTCTTCAGCTTTGGGTGAATTCATCTCCAGTGTCAGAAACAAGGCCAAAGTTTCAAAAACTCTGTATTTGCCCAAAAGGATGACAAATAATTTTCTGATTTCTAAACAGGCAAGTACGTCTCACGCCAGGTTGCAGTTTGGAGCAAGCAGTACAAGGCAAGCGAGACTCGGGATATTCCCAGCATGAACAAACTCATGGAATGGCTGCCACAACATCTACCTGAGAAGGAAACGATCTCTGTAGTCCATGGCGACTTCAGGTGAGTTTCTATACTGTATTTCAAGTTGCCTTTCTGGGAAAGATGATAGATCTTTCGAAACATCACTTATCCCGATATCCCAATTTGGGGTTTAATAAAAAAATACCCTATTCCTTCAGCACTGAGATATTGATTTCTGATTACCGTGTCTAGGCTGGATAACCTGATTCTCCATCCAGATAAAGCAGAGGTAGTCAGTGTACTAGACTGGGAGCTGTCAACTATCGGCGACCCACTGTCAGACCTTGCTTATTGCTGCTTGCCGTACTACCTGTCACCAAAGTTCCCAATTCTTAAAGGTACCGATTTTTAATGATGATGATAGTAGTGATTATGGTGGGAATTTTTGCTTTTTTCCCAGGAGATTTTGGCCCTTGCCTTGTTGAACCATGGGTCCATTACACTTCAAGAAGTGATTCATCTTATATATGTAAATGCTTGCGCCTTGAGATTGTTTTAGGTGTGACTGACTTGTGACTGACTTGTGACCGACTTGTGATTGACTTGGGATTGACTTGTGATGACTTGTGTTTGACCTGTGCTTGACTTGTGATTGACATGTGACTGTCTTGTGATTGACGTGACTGTCTTGTGATTGACGTGACTGTCTTGTGATTGACATGTGACTGTCTTGTGATTGACATGTGATTGACATGTGATTGACTTGTGATTAACTTGTAATTGACTTGTGATTGACTTCTGCTTGAGTTGTGATTGATTTTTGAGGACTTGTGATTGACTTATGATTTACTTGTGACTGACTTGTGACTTGCTTACAACCCTGCCATCTTGTAGGTTTTCATGGCCTCGACGTCAGTGAGCTAGGCATCCCTACCATGGAGGAGTTTGTCTCTCAGTACTGCCAACGTAGAGGAATTCCCCCAATCCAGAACCTAGACTTCTACATGGCCTTCTCCTTCTTCCGTGTTGCAGCCATCTTGCAAGGGGTCTACAAGAGATCCCAACAGGGTGAGAGAGGCATTACAATACGAACGATTGATAATATCACGCTGCACTGATGTGAATTCGTAAGCAATACATACTAGTGCTGTCCAAGTGCTTACGAGAAAAAAATTCATAAGCTCAGTCGGGTGGGACTCGAACCTCTTACCTCCTTGTACTAATGCAGATGTCCGAGCTTGCTGGGGTGGGCTTGCTTCTTTTAGTAATGTTTTTTTAATGTCATTCCTCTGTTTGTTTTAACATGAAGGCCAAGCTAGCTCCAAAGATGCACAAATTGTCGGGCTCTTGGCCGAACAAATGGCAGACACCGGGTGGTCATTCACGCAGTCCCCCTCGTCGTCCAGCCCAGGAACACCCCCAAGGAGTAATGGATCAGCCCCATCCAAGAGGGGATACAGTACATGGACAGTTCCCAGGCGGGGCTATTCAACTCAGGCACCAGGTGAGTTGAGGGGCAAATACCTGAGATAAAATGACATATATGTGTTTTAAGATTCATGAAACTGTTTTGGCAGAAAATTAGCACAAGGAGAATGTCTGATAACTTGGAACGATCCTGTTTACAACTTTCAAAATGCTCCATTTTTTGAAAAAAATTGCATTTCTGATGGAAATATTTGTATCAATGTCAAACTTTCGTGTCAACTTTTCAAAAGTTATTATTGTTGATATGCAACTAAATTATTAATCCCTTTTGTTAGATTAATGAAAAAAAAAATCATTTTTTTTTCAAATGGTCTCTCTGTTTTCAGGCCTTCTCGCCATATCAGTTTCGGCGCTCTCTGGGCATGCTCAGTCCTTGTACAATCAAGTCAACGAGATGATTACAAAGTATGTGTACCCAGTGGAGCGCGAGCTATATGCGCATCAATTATCTGACAACAAGTGGAATCCACACCCCATTATTGAACAACTCAAGGTAAAACACACCTATATCTTCTTACATTCCTTGATTAGGCAAACCCTTAACTTTGTTCAATTTGCCCTAGTTCGAAATAAAACCAATTGTTGATAGTAATAACATTTATTGTTTTTTTTATTCCAGGATAAAGCCAAATCAGAAGGATTATGGAATTTGTTTTTGCCGCTTGAGGCTGACCCCCATTCAGAATATGGAGCAGGCCTGACCAACATGGAGTATGCACACATGTGTGAACTGATGGGGAAGTCTTTATTTGCATCAGAGGTAGGTCCAAAAACATTGAGGGGACACTTAAAACTTGAAGTAAATACTGGACTCTGAATTTCCTTGCTTGAAAAATAAAATTGTAAAAATTATTTAAAAACATTGGAAATGTGTCTTATTGCTCAGCAGTCAATTTTTATGTCAGCATTGGCGCAGCATTTTTTCTGCAGGCTTTTGATGTATTTTTAAAATAGTTGTTTTTAGGCAAAACATATGAAAACTATGTCATTTTTTGGTCGTCTTTGTAGATTTTCAACTGTTCTGCGCCAGACACTGGAAACATGGAGGTTCTTGTGAAATACGGGAACCAGAAACAGAAAGAAAAGTGGCTGAAACCTCTGCTGGATGGGAGCATACGATCCTGCTTTGCTATGACCGAACCACAGGTACATCAATGTGTGGTCTTGAAAATGAGAGTGGGTGTGGTTTGGGGTGTGGCTGAATTGGAGATGGGCGGGGCCAGGCTGGTAGTGGGCAGGCCAAGTCTGGTAGTGGGTATGTCCACAATTTGAGGTGGGCGGGGCAAGATCAGAGGTTCAATCCTGCTTTGGTGTGATTAAAACAGTGAAAGGGTTTGCTCTGGGAAATTGTAGTGGGCGTGGTTTTGGGTGGGGCCACAGCAGAGAGGGGCGTGGCCACATCAGGAGATATGTTCCAGTCCTGCTTGACTATGACTGAACTACAGGTGAAGGGTTTGCGCTGGGAAATGGTAGTAGGTGTGGCTTTGGATTGGACAAGAAATGTGTGTGTGGCTTTTGGCGGGGCCATATAGAAGGGTGGGTGGGGACATATCAGAGGTATATATGTCAATCCATATCATAGTCAAGTTCATTGTGTAATTTCGTTAACTTTTTTGGGGGATTTGCAAACCTATACATTTTTGGAATCTGTGTGGTACAGGCAATCAGAAAACCAATGTTTACAATTTGCCGGAAGTATGCATGGCGGCCATCTTGGATTTTCAAAATGGCCGCCTTCAAAATGGGTGTTTCTCAATATCTCAGCATCCAGGTGGCCTAGAGTCATGATTTTAACGGCTAAACATACATTTTCAGGGGTGAGGAAGCCAGTGGTACAAAGTAAAATAAGCTAAACTTAACCACAAAGCGGCCATCTTGGATTTTCAAAATGGCCGCCTTCAAAATGGGTGTTTCTCAATTTCTCAGCATCCAGGTGGCCCAGAGTCATGATTTTAACGGCTAAACATACATTTTCAGGGGTGAGGAAGCCAGTGGTACAAAGTAAAATAAGCTAAATATAACCACCAAGCGGCCATCTTGGATTTTCAAAATGGCTGCCTTGAAAATTGGTGTTTCTCAATATCTCAGCATCCAGGTTTCCTAGAGTAATGCTTTTAACGGTATAACAAACTCTTTGTTATATAGCAGAATCTTTACACATCATCATCATCACTGTCACTGGTCGGCAACATGTCATTCCTAGGGTCCTCATCATTCTGGCACTGGGTGCTGCACTGGCAGAGGTCTGTGCATGATAAGTTCTTGGACCTGCAAGAGCATCGAGATGTTGAACAGTCTGCTCTGTACTGGCATCTCACCATCTCAATGATGGCCTTGGGGGCTGGGAGGACCTTAGTTGTGATTGGCTTCACCTGATCAGCTGCTGTGTCCTTGTAGAAGCCATGCTGCAGCGGATCCAGGAACTGCTGCTGAGCAATGCTTGCCTGGCCCCATACTGTGGCCTGGATCTGGACTCGGTGGATGTGCTGCTTGAGAGCACCAAGGGTGGGAGGCAGCTTGTCACTTTCAGCCATATGCTTGCAGAAAAGATGTCATCGCAGCTCAGGGATGCTCGCAATCTGGATGCCCTTTATGCGCGTATGCAGCACAGACGAATGTAACCAGCGTTGACAGCAGCTCTTCAGTGACTTCAGCGGAATCTGAAAGCATCTGCAGAGCATTGATGACTACTCCGCCTGCTTTGAGGTAGACTTTCAGCCAGGTTGCCTTTCCTATGCGAGAGAACCTCCCAGTGTTGTCTGCCCCCGTGAATGCGTGGAAGGCTGGCCAAGCCTTTGCTCTTTCTGGACCTAGATCTGTCCATATTGGCTGCACTTGGACCACTCCGGAAGCCATTGACATGGACGTGTTTCTCAGCAGAAGGTCATAATGTTCTACGACCAGCACCAGAACATCAGTGTCTGGGGAGAAGACCACCAACTCTGCATCAGGTGGGTTCCTCTGTGATGCCAGCACTGCATGATAGATTAGCAGCATGTCCGCCTCTTCGTGATTGTTGTCTTCGATTAGCAGCTCGCTATTGCTCCTAGTACGTCCTGCGGCAGATGCGATAACCAGCTTTGACAAGTCTTGGTTGTACTCCAGGGTTTTTGCTGCCAGATACTCAGTCAGATCAGCCTTCGTTTTGTCGTGGGAAAGGAACCGGCTCATTGGGATGTGCTTGATGCTGGTGTCATCTCTGATTTGATATTGGATCAGATCCTTCCCTTGTCTCCGTTTCTCCCTTGTGGTACTCTTCAGGGAATCAGCCTTGTATGTGTCAAACACAAGAATGATCTCATCACAGTCTCTTGTGAGAGACATCAGTCTGATATTGAAGCATTCACTGAGGTCTTTGACTGTCACTACCGTGGCTGGTTTGTTTGTTAGCTTCTGCACGACCACCATACCGTCCACCAGTGCAATTTTTCAACTTCGATGAGGATCTTCAGTGGGTGTGCAGTCTATTGTTTATGGATCTACTGCATCGCGCTGCAGAACACTTGCATCGTGCAGCTGCTGCTGCTGATCTTCATTGGGTGGTTCTGCTGTTCCGAGCTTCTCAAGGAGGTGGATCAACTTTGCCTTGTCAATACATGGATTGCCATGACTCAGGATCGCAGCCTTGATCTTGTCAATTGCGTCATGCTCCCTCTTGACTGCACTTGGTCTAAGGTCATGGTGCTCTGTGACCTTGCCAGCTTCCACATCAAACTGACTCTTGAACTCGCTCGACAGGCATGACAGTTCCAGTGCAGCCATTAAGAACCTCTGTCTAGCATTGGCGTTGTTGGAGATTCCAATCAGTCCAGAGTGAACCTTCATCAGCTTGTTCAGATGTTCGCATGCGTGGTCTGCACCAATCGAGAAACGGAGACAAGGGAAGGATCCGATCCAATATCAGATCAGAGATGACACCAGCATCAAGCACATCCCAATGAGCCGGTTCCTTTCCCACGACAAAACGAAGGCTGATCTGACTGAGTATCTGGCAGCAAAAACCCTGGAGTACAACCAAGACTCATCAAAGCTGGTTATCGCATCTGCCGCAGGACGTACTAGGAGCAATAGCGAGCTGCTAATCGAGGACAACAATCACGAAGAGGCGGACATGCTGCTAATCTATCATGCAGTGCTGGCATCACAGAGGAACCCACCTGATGCAGAGTTGGTGGTCTTCTCCCCAGACACTGATGTTCTGGTGCTGGTCGTAGCACATTATGACCTTCTGCTGAGAAACACGTCCATGTCAATGGCTTCCGGAGTGGTCCAAGTGCAGCCAATATGGACAGATCTAGGTCCAGAAAGAGCAAAGGCTTGGCCAGCCTTCCACGCATTCACGGGGGCAGACAACACTGGGAGGTTCTCTCGCATAGGAAAGGCAACCTGGCTGAAAGTCTACCTCAAAGCAGGCGGAGTAGTCATCAATGCTCTGCAGATGCTTTCAGATTCCGCTGAAGTCACTGAAGAGCTGCTGTCAACGCTGGTTACATTCGTCTGTGCTGCATACGCGCCAAAGGGCATCCAGATTGCGAGCATCCCTGAGCTGCGATGACATCTTTTCTGCAAGCATATGGCTGAAAGTGACAAGCTGCCTCCCACCCTTGATGCTCTCAAGCAGCACATCCACCGAGTCCAGATCCAGGCCAAAGTATGGGGCCAGGCAAGCATTGCTCAGCAGCAGTTCCTGGATCCGCTGCAGCATGGCTTCTACAAGGACACAGCAGCTGATCAGGTGAAGCCAATCACAACTAAGGTCCTCCCAGCCCCCAAGGCCATCATTGAGATGGTGAGATGCCAGTGCAGAGCAGACTGTTCAACATTTCGATGCTCTTGCAGGTCCAAGAACTTATCATGCACAGACCTCTGCCAGTGCAGCACCCAGTGCCAGAATGATGAGGACTCTAGGAATGACATGTTGCCGACCAGTGACAGTGATGATGATGATGTGTAAAGATTCTGCTATATAACAAAGATTTTGTTATACCACACTTATTTTGTCATGCTATCATGATATTGAAGTTGTCCAAGAAGCTGCCTAGACATGCTAGAGGTTTGACTTGCTACATGTAGAAGTTTTGAGCCATTTAAAAAATGTATTATAATGGAATGAACATGAAAATCTGCTTTGTGGTTATGTTGAGCTGAGTTTACTTTATACCACTGGCTTCCTCACCCCTGAAAATGTATGTTTAGCCGTTAAAAGCATTACTCTAGGAAACCTGGATGCTGAGATATTGAGAAACACCAATTTTCAAGGCAGCCATTTTGAAAATCCAAGATTGCTGCTTGGTGGTTATGTTTAGCTTATTTTACTTTGTACCACTGGCTTCCTCACCCCTGAAAATGTATGTTTAGCCGTTAAAATCATGGCTCTGGGCCACCTTGATGCTGAGATATTGAGAAACACCCATTTTGAAGGCGGCAATTTTAAAATCCAAGATGGCCGCTTTTTGGTTATGTTTAGCTTATTTTACTTTGTACCACTGGCTTCCTCACCCCTGAAAATGTATGTTTAGCCGTTAAAATCATGACTCTAGGCCACCTGGATGCTGAGATATTGAGAAACACCCATTTTGAAGGCGGCCATTTTGAAAATCCAAGATGGCCGCCATGCATGCTTCCGGCAAATTGTAAACATTGGTTTTCTGATTGCCTATACCACACAGATTCCAAAAATGTATAGGTTTGCAAATCCCCCAAAAAAGTTAACGAAGTTCAATATCTGGACATAGTGAACTTGACTATCAGATGCTGGGGTCCAATCCTGCTTTGCAATGATCAAACAGCAGTTTAAGGGTTTGCTGTGGGAAACAGCAGTGGATGTGGCTTTATGCGGGACAGTTATATTCTTGAATTCAACCAGTATTTTGATTTATGTATTTTTACAAAAGTATTTTGTTAACACTAGCTTTGTGCATATGCATGATCCTAATATACCACATAATATTTGGAAACTGAAATGTAAACGGTTAATAATTTTTAAAAATGATCAATTGTTTTGTGTTTTTATTTTTGCCAAAGGTTGCCTCATCCGATGCTACCAACATCCAATCTGCAATCGTAAAAGACGGCAACGATTTGGTCCTAACGGGACGGAAGTGGTGGATCTCTGGTGCCATGGACCCCCGCTGCAAAATCTGCATCTTCATGGGCAAGACAGACCCCGCAGCAGACACCCACAGACAGCAGAGCATGGTGCTGGTCCCCATGGATGCCCCGGGGTTAGAGGTCATCCGGCCGCTGTCGGTCTTCGGTTATCAGGACCCGCCAGCCGGTCACGCTGAGTTGGTGTTCGAGGATGTGAGGGTGCCGGCCGAGAATTTCATCCTTGGAGAAGGCAGAGGCTTTGAAATCGCACAGGTGGGTGAGATTTAATTGATTGGATGGGCGTGGCTTACATATAAAGAGTAGGGGCTGTTTGAGTTTTTAAAAAATGTACCCTCTTGTCAATCTCATAGATCTGCTAAGCAAAACCAGGTTACCAGTCAAAATTTCATGTGGTACCCAATGCTTGGGACTGGTTCTCTGTTATTACAGTTTATTGAGAGCAGTTTCCGAGCAATATCTTGTATTCAAGAAGCTGATTTTTAATCTCAGTATAAAGTTCCTTCCCACCTCCCCCCCCCCCAAAAAAAAAAACTATTGCTAAGTTATGACTTCAGACCATATGACTTCAGACCATATCTTGTATTTAAGAAGCTGATTTTTAATCTCAGTATAAAGTTCCCTCCCACCTATATTTCCCCCCCCAAAAAAAAAAAAAATATTGCTATTTTATGACTTCAGACAATATTTATGACTTCTGCAATAGTCCATGTCTTTTTGTAGTTATCTGTAATTGTATAATTTAATTTTCAAAAAGATGTACATGTACTGCTTTCCTTGACCAATATATTTTTATCTGATTGAATTGCCCCTTGCACGTGTATTCAACGCACTATGTGTATAAGTTCATAAGCCCCTCTCTGCGAGATATTTATCTATCCTTGAAATGGACTGTGTTTCAAAATGAACCGTAGACTACAGAATATGTATGCGTATAGTCCAAGGTTAATTTTGAAACGCAATCCCCTTCGAGGACAGATAAACATCTCGCAGAAAGGGGCTTATAAACTGCCGTGTTTTCCAAGCAGCCAATGCCTATTTTAATCCCCTTACGTGACCCCAATCTGCTCAAACTGCAACAAAAGGTTGCCTTGGCATTTGCTGGCTGAATTAAATTGTGCGTATATTTCAATCAATCCATGTATTGTCATAGTGGAATCTGAACTATAAAGTACTTCCATTGATTGTTATCCAACTGAATTTTTGAGAAATGACTCCCCTGTTTCTAAATGGATTGCTTTATCCCCAAGATCTACAATATTTTTTTTACAAATTATATCTGCAGTTGCTGCTTAATGTTTGTAACTTTGTAATGACAAAAAAGCTTCATTCAAAAACGTTCTATTGATCAAATTATAAACGTAGTTGATGCATTGGAACGGACTGCAGCGTTATGAACACTATTCTGACATGAACTCTCAACATGACCAGTATATCATCAACTCGCTCCAATCTACCTCCAGCACATGATACACCTTCGTAATGTGAGGCCTGGTCTACAGTCCTCGGCCCTCACACTCCATGTAGGACTCATATCCCGCCACACCAGCTTCAGAGACACATCCTTCTCTTATAGTGCGCCTCATTTATGGAATTCACTACCGCTTGACCTCAGAACATAGAATAATCCATCATCCTTCAAGCGACAGCTTAAGACTCATCTCTTCAGCCGGGTATTTTGCATCCTGGAATGACTTTCTCTTTGCAACGACCCATGCCTTTGAATGACATTTTATGTTGGATACCGTGCACAACTGGGCGGCAGTTGTTTTGCATGATTCACGGGCACAGTGCTTCCTGACAAGAACAAATGAAGCCAAAAATCTTCATTTCAGAGTGCTTACCAAATTCAAACGTTAACATTTTTTCTTCGCAGCAGATCTGTTTATCGTAATTTTGCCTGCATTGTGACTCTGAACTGCCACCATGTAAAAAACGTCTTCAGCTAAAACCGATCCGGTTGTGTACGTCAATGAAAGTACTAACTGTTGCTGCTTTCAAACTGTGCCAATGTGTGAATAAACAAACATTCTCAAGTAGTTTTCTTTGTCCAATTTGCAAACAAAGCAATCCTACTGCAACCAAAGCTTCCCACTGCCTCGATTCTAAGAAACTGGAACTTGGGATAAGTTTTGGGCCAGATCATCAATGAATGTTTGTTAAGTGGTCATTTTCAAAGACTTGCGCTTTATCTTTCCTTGAGTGAGTGTAAATTAGTGACGTTCACTCGATCACCACAATGGGATCAGGCGTAACGTCAGGCGAGTGCACCGCCAACAACACTCACAACATCAGTACTGAGAAGAGTGCTGAGTGGCTTTACACTCCAACACACACTCTCTTTGTAACCATCATTGTCCCAGTTTTCTGGGGTGCTGGCGTCGTCGCAAACTCAACATTTCTGTTTGTCTTACTTCGCCTCCCCAAGATGAGATCCAAGAGTAACATCTTGCTGGCTAACTTGGCGCTTGCCGATTTGTGGCAGATAAGCTTTTATGCTGGAATCTACCTCTGGATGTATCTAGCCTCCCCGGTTCTGTTCTCCCTACCGTTTGTAAGCTCGGCTGGCTGCATGGGTTTCTACGCCGCATTCAACGTTGGGTACTTTTCCTCCGTCGCACTGGTGACCGCAGTTTCGCTGGAGCGTTACATTGCCCTCTGCCATCCCATGAGGCATCTGACGATTTTCAGCCGACAGCAGGCCTACAAAATGGTTGGGATCTGCTGGATGGTGGGGTTGGTGTTTTCCTGTTCCATCGTGCCTGGTTCGGCGATCCTCAACGTGCGATGTCTTCAGTGGCCCGATGTGGACACATTTGATGGGTTCCCTTCAGTTTCTGTATCGTGTGGTTCTGTACATCCCTGGGTTGGATACTACATCGAGCCACTGGTACTCATCCCATGGCTGGTAATCGTCATCGCAAATATCTACATGTTTGTGGAAATTGTGCGCGCCTTGAACAAACGTAGAGCTATCGCGGATGCCGCTACAACTGGAGCACACCTCAGAATGCTGCAAGTCAGAAACCAGTTTGCGATTATGCTGATCATAAACGGCGCCGTTTTCTTCATCTGTCAGACTCCAATCCGATTCGTCAATCTCTCCTTCTGGATCTGCTTTGTGGCTGGTATCCCGGACAATCCCCTCGTTGCCATCAGTGGGAATTACATATCATGGATTGTCCTGGTTCCCCAACTCATTAACTGCCTGGTAAATCCTTTAATCTACGGCGTTACCAATGCCAACTACCGGGCTGCGTTACATCAAGCGTTCCAGTGCAGACGACAGCCTGGAAGAGCCCCCTCAACTCAACAGCCATGTGCTCTTGTTATAAGGAACAGCCACGCTGATGTAGAAAACCACCAACAGGAAGCACAAACTGTCAACCAGCTGTAAGAACTTGAATAAAACTGTGTAGCCATGAACTGTTATAGCGACATCTTAGTATCATAGCTTTGCATAGAAAGAAGAACATTATGCCATCTTGTGAGCTGAAGCTTAGTTGGTATATTTTGCCATCAGATTACTGTATCTGTGTTAGAGGTTTTTAACATGCATGCTTTCAATAGCTTCAAGGTCTGAGCTTTTGCCATTTTGTGCTCTGTAATGCAATGTTACATGATATTTTGTAGATTGGTGGTTCGTGGCTATAGATTGAAACAGTGGTTGGAGTATATGTTATTGTGTCTCACTCTTATTCGAAAAGTTCCAGTTTGCAGACAAGTACAAATAGATTACTTGCTAACCTAAATTTTAGTTTTGCAATATTTTCACATTTTTCAGTGTCAAATAACATGAATTTGAACGTTTGAAGTTTTCTGCTGTGTAACTGAATGTTACATGTTATTTTGTAGGTTGGATTGGCATGGCTTAGATTGGAATTTGGGTGCTGGCCAAGTGTCATCAACTGGTCATACAACAACCTCGTTTCCAGGGGTAAAATCCAGGGGTAAATTCCAGGGGTAAAATTTAACCCCTAGAATTGTGTAATTATGTGCCAAATAGTGGCACATTTAAATAAAGACTGCAGTCGATGTATGTAACGTGTGACGCAGTGTTTATAATTTTGAAATTGTATTTTTTATAGAATCAATCCTTTCAAACATGAGATTTCGACGTCATCTGATTTGGCAAGGATTTTTAATTACCTTTATTGTTTATAAAAACCTCAAGTAATGTTAAATATAAACAGCCCAATAATCCAATTTCCCTCTAAAAAAACGTCATAGTTCCCCCATCTTCCCTCTGAAGGGAAATCCCCCCTGCGATAGCGGTCCATACTCTCCAGCATCCTGGCAGCATCGTTGGTTAAACACTGATACTTCCCTCGCGTGATAATGTTAAAATAAATTCTGTTGTAATCAGTTCTACCGTTTCTAGTCGGGGTCAGGCCCTGTTGTTTTTTCTTTTTCAAAAATTGACCGGGCTAAAAGGAATGAAGGCATTCAGAACGGGAGGAACCCATGTGCTTGAGTGCGCATGGTTGATGCATTTTTGGTATCTCGCCTTACAGAAGCCCTTTAAGCTTAAACTGCAACAAAAGGTTACCATGGCATTTGCTGGCTGAATGACATAGTGGGTACAACCTTTATTATTGTCTCTCCACGTATTGACGTCATGGACTCGGAACCATTAGGGAGATTTCAGGAAATTTATCCGTGGGTTTGACCACAAAGTACTTCCTTTTTCTTCATTGTCATCCGTTTTTTTTTTTTTTTTGAGAAATGACTCCCCTAGTTCTAATTATAGTAGGTTGCTCAACCTACACAGTCTATTTTTTATTTAAATGATACACGTAGTGCAATAAAATATTTCAGTGTATTACTGCAGTTACTGCGTAAAAGATACGTCTCCACAAACAACTTTTGTTCCAGCTGTGTACTGAGCTCTCAACACCACAAATTTCTTTCTTAGAGCCATAGTAGTTCTGCATGATGAACCAGCATAGAGTTTTCTGACCAGAACAGATTAAGCCAAAATCTTCAGTACAGAGAGCCCACCAAATGCAACATTAACGTTTTCTCTTCGCAGCAGATCTGTGATCGTATTGTAATTAGCCTACAGTTTGACTCTGAACTACGTCATGTAAAAAGCAGTCTGATCCAGTTGTGGTGTTAAATTAAAGTACTAGCTGTTGCTGGTTTAAAACTGAGCCAATCTGCGAACAAACACACTTTCTGAATTGGGTTTCTTTCTGGAAACAAAGCAATCTTGTTCCGACCAAAGCTTCTCACTGCCTCGATGCAAGAATAAGTTTTGAGCCAGATTGTCTGCATGTATGTAGGCATATTTTTTTTTAGTTGAACTGTGGTCATTTTCAAAGATGTGCGCTATATCTATCCTTGAGTGAGTCTAAATTTGTGACGTTTACTTGAACACCGCAATGGGATCAGGCATAACGTCAGGCGAGTGCAACGCTCACGACACTCTTAACATCACTACTGAGATGAGCACTGAGTGGTATTACACTCCAATGCACACCCTCTTTATTACAATCATCGTCCCAGTTTTTTGGGGCGTCGGAGTTGTCACAAATTCAACGTTTCTGTTCGTCTTGCTTCGCCTTCCTAAGATGAGATCCAAGAGTAACATCTTGCTGGCAAATTTGGCGCTCGCCGATCTGTGGCAAATAAGCTTTTATGCTGGAATCTACCTCTGGATGTATCTAGCCTCCCCAGTTCCTTTCTCCCGACCGTTTGTAAACTCGGCTGGCTGCATGAGTTTCTACGCTGCATTAAACATCGGGTACTTCGCATCTGTCGCTCTGGTGACTGCAGTTTCATTTGAGCGTTACATCGCCCTCTGCCATCCCATGAGGCATCTGACGATTTTTAGCCGGCAAGACGCGTACAAAATGGTTGGGATCTGCTGGATGGTGGGGTTGGTGTTTTCCTGCTCCATCGTGCCTGGTACAGCGATCCTCAATGTGCAATGTCTTCAGTGGCCCGATGTGGACACATTTGATGGGTTCCCTTCAGTTTCTGTATCCTGTGGTCCTGTACATCCCTGGGTTGGATACTACATCGAGCCACTGGTACTCATCCCATGGCTGGTAATTGTTATCGCAAACATTTACATGTTTGTGGAAATCATGGGTACCGCTGTAACCGGAGCATACCTCAGAATGCTGCAAGTCAGAAACCAGTTTGCGATCATGCTGATCGTAAACGGCGCCGTTTTCTTCATCTGTCAGACTCCAATCCGATTCGTCAATCTCTCCTTCTGGATCTGCTTCGTCGCTGGTATCCCGGACAACCCCCTCATCGCCATCGGTGGGAGTTACTCAGTGTGGATCGTCCTGGTACCCCAGCTCACTAACTGCCTGGTGAATCCATTAATCTATGGCGCTATGAATGCCAACTACCGGGCTGCGTTACGTCAAGCGTTCCAGTGCAGACGTCAGCCCAGAAAAGCCTCACCAACTCAACATCCATGTGCTCTGGTAATAAGGAACAACCACGCTGATGTAGGAAACCACCAACAGGAAGCACAAACTGTCAACCAGCTGTAAGAACTTGAATAACACTGTGTATCCATGAACTGTAATAGCGACATGTTATATCGTAGCTTAATGCATAGAAAGAAGAATGTTATGCCATCTTGTGTACATTAAGCATGCATGCTTTCAATACCTAAACTGTTGAACTTTGCAATATTTCACAGTTGTCAGTGTAGTATTTGCATATATAAATTTGAAGGTTTAAAGGTTTGTGCTCTGTAATTTAATGTTACATATATGATATTTTGTAGATTGGTGGTTCGTGGCTAAAGATTGAAACAATGGGTCGAGTACATGTAATTGTGTCTCACTCTCATTCGAAAAGTTGCAGTTTGCAGAAACGTACGCATACTTTACTTGCTACCCTAAACTCCTTATAAATACAAAAATCTAAAGGAAAGGTTCTAAAATCAACTTTAAACCTTGCTTAGCCCCACTCCCAATTTCAAGTTGGTCACTCTTGAATTTGACCTAAGAAAAATTTGACATATTTATATTTATTCCCAAAACTTTACGATGATTAGTCTAAACAATTTGAATAACTTGAAATAGCTTTTTTAGTTCGGAATTTAATGTGCAGACCTGAAAAACTGAATAAAAGCACTTTTCCACACCTTGGATAAAATTAGATTTTTAGTATGGTAAAAATTGATACTTCCAGAGCATGACGGTGCTACAAAAAATTCTGTTGCATTTCCAAAAATGTAGTTGTATGTCAGGGTCAGACATTGTTTTTTTGTAAATAGACCGGACTAAGCCGCAACAAAAGGTTGCCATGGCATTTGCTGGCCAGTAAAATTGTGCACACGACTTTTATTGTTAGATCCCTCCACGTGTTGTCGTTACGGGCTCAGAACCAATAGAAAGATTTCTGAAATGTTATCTAAAATATTGATGGGTTGGACCATCAAGTGCATTTCATGAAGTAGAGGGCTCAATAGTCAATCCCCATAATCTATGGTATTTTATAAAATCGTATCTGCCCTTGTGCCATAAAATACCTGAGTGCAGACTAGTCCCTGCTTAAGGCACATCTTAATAAACAACTCGATGAATTGTTACAAACAATTTTTGTAGAGGGCATTGTGGGCGTGGTTTGGACTATAGCTAGTCCTATTATCTGGAGAACTACCAGAATAGCTTAATACCTCATGGAATTATGTCCTTGCATATAATTGTCCTGACTGCATATGGACAAAAACAAAACTTAACTCATCAAAAAACATAATGGGGAAAAGCCCTATGTCCTGTTCATCGACCAGACATAGATCTGGTTATATTTTAATCTCTCCACGTAGTGTTATAATGGGCTCAGATCCATTAGGGAGGTTCATTAATGGATTTGCAATGTTGTAGTTGAGTACTTTTTTCCAAGTATCGAGTACTTCCGAGTACTTAGGTTACCAAGTACGAGTATGAGTACTCGTACTTCTGAGTACGAGTACTTGCATTCTGAGTACGAGTACTTGTACTTCCGAGTACGAGTATGAGTACTATTTCCGAATACGGCCATACGGCAGTGGTTCATTGTGCGTAATTGACCCAGGCCCAGTCAGACCGATAGACGGACCCACTCAGGGCTAGCTGTTAAATGTGTTTGTCCGGACGTGCACAGAGGAAAATCAGGAAACTTTGATTTCTCCGCAAGCAAATCAACCATTAAGAATCAAGAATCAAGAATCGATAAAATAAGGCTGTGGTAAGTCAAGTACACCATTTTGTTCTGAGTACTGCTCTTCGAGTACAAGTACCTTGTTGATCGAGTACAATTTCGGCATGTCTAGTTCAAGTACTTTGCTACCCGAGTACTAGCACTGTCATTTCCAGTATGAGTACACTGACATTCGAGTAGGAGTATGAGTACTCTAAAAAAAAAGTACTCGAGTAGTACTCGGGTACGAGTACCAAGTACAAGTACAACAACACTGTGCATTTGCCAATAAAGCATTTCCGTTTGTTCATTGTTGTTCAGGTTGATATTTGACTGCATATGGACGAACACAAAACATAAACTCATAAAAAAAAAATTTTAAAATGCGGAAAACCCTATGTTCAGTTCATTGAACAGACATAGATCTAGTTGTATTTTAATCTCTCCACGTATAATGGGCTCAGATCCATTAGGGAGGTTCATTGATGGATTTGCCATTGAAGTGTTTCCGTTTGTTCAATGATGTTTGGGTTGATATTTGAGAAATGACTCCGGTTTTAATGATTAATTGGTACTTAAGGATGGCACAACCGTCACATTCAATAAAGTTAAAGCTGTCCTTGTGCTAATAACAATGTGTAGCATTCCAGTCGCTGCTTAAGGAACGTCTCAATAAACAACTTGATGCCAGCAGTGTTACGTGTGGTGTACTGAGCTCTTAACACCAAGATTTTCTCTCCTAGAGCATAGTTTGACAAGAATATAACAAGTCAAAGCTTCCATATGAGAACAGATTGAGCTGAACATCTTCAGTTCAGGGAGCCCACCCCACCAAAGTCAACGTTATCATTTTTTTCTTCGCAGTAGATCTGTAATCAGTCAGTTGCGTTGATGTAACGAGCAATATAAAGTGATTCAGAAGGCACTTATTAACTCACTGTAATCTACATCCAGGACATGATACACCTTCGTAATGTGAGGCCTGGTCTACGGTCTTCGGCTCTCACACTCCATGTAGGCCTACCCATATCCCGCCTCACCAACTGCGGAGACGGAGCCTTCTCTTATAGTGCACCTCGTCTATGGAATTCACTACCGCTTGACCTCAGAACATAAAATAATCGGTCATCCTTCAAGCGACAGCTCAAGACTCATCAAAAGTCAACATTAGCCTACCGAAAGTCAACATTAGCATTTTTACTTCGCAGCAGATCTGCATGAATAGTTTTGATGGCATTGTGAATCTGAAATACGACCATGTAAAGAGTCATCTGCTAAAACTGATCCAGTTGTCGTATCAAATTAAATTCATTTACATGTACTAGCTGTTGCTTGTTTGAAACTGAGCCAATCTGGGAACGGACAAACATTCTGAAGTGGTTTTTCCTTGTTCAATGTGCAAACATTGCAATCCTACTCCAACCAAAGCTTCCCACTGCCTCGATTCTAAGAAAGCGCAAGTATATATTTTGAACCAGATCATGTATTTTTAAGTGTTCATTTCAAAGACTTGTGCTTGATCTTTTTTGAGTGAGTGTAAATTAGTGACGTTTACTCGAACACCACAATGGGATCAGGCGTGACGTCAGGTGAGTGCACCGCCAACAACACTGTCAACATCAGTACTGAGGAGAGTGCTGAGTGGCTTTACACTCCAACACACACTCTCTTTGTAACCGTCATCGTCCCAGTTTTCTGGGGTGCTGGCGTTGTCACAAACTCCACATTTCTGTTTGTCTTGCTTCGCCTTCCTAAGATGAGATCCAAGAGTAACATCTTGCTGGCTAACTTGGCGCTCGCCGATCTGTGGCAGATAAGCTTTTATGCTGGAATCTACCTCTGGATGTATCTAGCCTCCCCGGTTCTGTTCTCCCTACCGTTTGTAAGCTCGGCTGGCTGCATGGGTTTCTACGCCGCATTTAACGTCGGGTACTTTTCCTCCGTCGCACTGGTGACTGCAGTTTCGCTGGAGCGATACATCGCCCTCTGCCATCCCATGAAGCATCTGACGATTTTTAGCCGGCAGCAGGCCTACAAAATGGTTGGGATCTGCTGGATGGTGGGGTTGGTGTTTTCAAGTTCGGTCATGCCCGGTATGGCAATCCTGAACATGCGATGCCTTCAGTGGCCCGATGTGGACACATTTGATGGGTTCCCATCAGTTTCTGCATTCTGTGGTCCAGTAATGCTCTGGGTTAGATACTACACTGAGCCACTGGTACTCATCCCATGGCTGGTAATCGTCATCGCAAACATCTACATGTTTGTGGAAATGGTGCGCACCTTAAACAAACGCAGGGCTATCATGGATCAGGCTATAACTGGAGCACACCTCAGAATGCTGCAAGTCAGAAAAAAGTTTGCGATCATGCTGATCATTAACGGCACCATTTTCTTTATCTGTCAGACTCCAGTCCGATTATTCAAAATCTCCCAATGGATCTGCTTTGTCGCTGGTATCCCGGACAATCCCCTTGTCATCAGTGGGAATTACTCATCATGGATCGTCCTGGTTCCCCAACTCACTAACTGCCTGGTTAATCCATTAATCTACGGCGTTACGAATGCCAACTACCGGGCTGCATTGCGTCAAGCATTCCGGTGCAGAGTTCAGCCCAGAAAAGCCCCCTCAACTCAACAGCTATGTGCTCTGGTAATAAGGAACAGCCACGCTGATGTAGGAAACCACCATCACGAAGCACAAACTGTCAACCAGCTGTAAGAACTTGAATAAAACAGTGTAGCCATGAACTGTTATAGCAGTAATAATATGTTAGTATCGTACTTTTGCATAGAAAGGAGAACGTAATGCCATCTTGTGTACTGAAGCTTAATAGTTGGTATTTATTTTGCCATCAGATTCTGTGTTAAAGGTTTTTAGCATGCATGCTTTCAATGGCTTCAAGTTTTGAGCTTTGCAATATTTTCATAGTTGTCAGTGTAATATTTGCAGAAATTTGAAGGTTTGAAGTTTTGTGCTCTGTAATTTAATGTTACATGATATTTTGTAGATTGGTGGTTTGTGCCTATAGTGGGTGGAATACATGTCACTGTGTCTCACTCTTATTTCGAAAAGTTCCAGTTTGCAAAAACGTACAAATACTTTACTTGCTACCCTAAACTCCTTATACAAAAATCTAAAAACAAAAGTTCTAAAGTCAACTTTAAATCTTGCTTAGCTCCGCTCCCAATTTCTAGTTGATCACTCGTGAAAATAACCTAAGAAAAATCGGACAAATTTACATGTTTTCCCAAAACTTTAGGTCTAAAAATCAAGCTTTTCTTGTTTTAATATTTTAATCATTGACATTTCAATGCCTTGTATTGATATTTTTACACCATTTTACGTTAACATTTTTTTTGCTTTAATTTAATATTATATTGTTTATTTTAAAAGTTTTGTACAGCACCTTGAGCGTCTGTTTAGGCAGATTATGGCGCTTATATAAATATACATATAATTATTATTATTATAAAAATTTGGGTAACTTGAAATAGTTTTTTTAGTTCAGAATTTAATGTGCATACCTGAAAAACTGAATAAAAGCACTTTTCCACACCTTGGATAAAATCAGATTTTTTTGTATGTTAAACATGCAAAAAATACAATAAATTCTGTTGCATTTAGTTGTACGTCAGGGTCAGACACAGTTTTTTCTTTTGTAAATATACCGGATTAAGCTGCAACAAAAGGTTGCCATGGCATTTGCTGGCCGAATAAAATTGTGCGCACGACCTTTAGTATAATTGAATCTCTCCACGTGCATTAGGAAGATTTCCAAAATGTTATCTCAAATATTGATGGGTTGGACCATAAAGTGCATTTCATTAAGTAGAGGGCTCAATCCCCATAATCTACAGTATTTCATGAAATCGTATCTGCCCTTGTGCCATGAAATACCTCAGTCAGAATAGTCGCTGTTTAAGGCACATTTTAATAATCAACCTGATGAATTGTTACAATTTTTTATAGAGGGCATTGTGGGCGTGGTTTGGACTAGGCCTATTATCTGGAGAACTACAAGAATACCGTAGCTTAATAACTCGTGGAACTATGTTCTTGCATATAATTGTCCTGACTGCATATGGACGAAAACAAAACATAACTCATAAAAAACAATCCGTTTTCTACATTCTGTTCATGGACCTGACATAGATCTAGTTATTTTTAATCTCTCCACGTAGTGTCATAATAGCCTCAGATCCGTTAGGGAGGTTTATTGATGGATTTGCCAATAAAGCATTTCCGTTTGTTCGTTGTTGTTCGGGTTGATATTTGAGAAATGACTCCGGTTCTAATGATTAATTGTACTTGAGGATTGCACAACGCTCACATCCAATATAATTAAAGCTGTTCTAGTGCTAATACCCATGTGCAGCACTCCAGTACGAACGTCTCAATAAACAACTTGATGCCAGCAGTGTTACGTGTGGTGTACTGAGCTCTCAACAAGATGATTTTCTCTCCTAGAGCCATGGTTGTTTGACAAGAATAAACCAGCGCAGAGTTTCCCGTACCAGAACAGATTGAGCTGAAAGTCTTCAGTTCAGGGAGCCCACCCCGCCAAAGTCAACATTATCATTTTCTCTTGGCAGCAGATATGCATCGATGTAACAAGCAATAACCTAAACTGATCCAAAGCACTTCGTCAACTCACTCCAATCTACATCCAGGACGTGATACACCTTCGTAATGTGAGGCCTGGTCTACGGTCCTCGGCTCTCACACTCCATGTAGGCCTACCCATATCCTGCCTGACTAACTGCGGAGACAGAGCCTTCTCTTACAGTGCACCTCATCTATGGAATTTGTTACAGCTTGACCTCAGAACACAGAATAATCCATCATCCTTCAAGCAACAGCTCCAGACTCATCTCTGATCTTCAGCTGGGTATTTTGAATCCTCTGACTTTCTCTTTGCAATGACCCATGCCATTGAATGACATTTTATGTCAGATACTGTGCGCTATATAAGTGCTGTTTTGTAGATGACCTGTGGTCATTTTTAAAGACTTGTGCTAAATCATTCCTTGATTGTGTCTAACTTGGTGACATTTACTTGAACAGCGCAATGGGATCAGGCACAGCGTCAGTTGAGTGCAACGCTCAGGACACTCTTAACATCAGTACTGAGATGAGCACTGAGTGGTACTACACTCCAACGCACATCCTCTTTATTACAATCATCTTCCCAGTTTTTTGGGGCGTCGGAGTTGTCACAAATTCAACGTTTCTGTTCGTCTTGCTTCGCCTCCCCAAGATGAGATCCAAGGCGAACATCTTGCTGGCAAACTTGGCGCTAGTCGATCTGTGGCAGATGAGTTTTTACGTGGGAATGTATCTGTTGATGTATTTTGCCTCCCCAGTCGCATTCTCCCAACCATTTGTAAACTCGGCCAGCTGTGTGAGTTTCTATGTAGCATTAAACATGGGGTACTTCGCATCTGTCGCTCTGGTGACTGCAGTTTCTTTGGAGCGTTACATCGCCCTCTGCCATCCCATGAAGCATCGGACGATTTTTAGCCGGCAGCAGGCCTACAAAATGGTTGGGATCTGCTGGATGGTGGGGTTGGTGTTTTCATGTACAGTTGTGCCCGGTATTGCAATCCTCAACGTGCAATGTCTTCAGTGGCCCGATGTGGACACATTTGATGGGTTCCCATCAGTTTCTGTATCCTGTGATCCGGTACGTCCCTGGGTTAGATACTACACTGGGCCACTGGTATTCATCACATGGCTGGTAATCGTCATCACAAACGTCTACATGTTTGTGGAAATGGTGCGCGCCTTGAACAAACGCAGGGCTATCACTAATCCGGCTATAACTGGAGCACACCTCAGAATGCTGCAAGTCAGAAACCAGTTTGCGATCATGCTGATCATTAACGGCGTCGTTTTCTTTATCTGCCAGACTCCAATCCGATTACTCCGTCTCTCCGAATGGATCTGCTTTGTCATTGGTATCCCGGACAATCCCCTTGTCATGAGTGGGAATTACTCATCGTGGATTGTCCTGGTTCCCCAACTCACCAACTGCCTGGTGAATCCATTAATCTACGGCGTTACCAATGCCAACTACCGGGCTGCATTACGTCAAGCATTCCAGTTCAGACGTCAGCCCAGAAAAGCCCCCTCAACTCAACAGTCTTGTGCTCTTGTAATGAGGAACAGCCACGCTGATGTAGGAAACCACCAACAGGAAGTACAAGCTGCCAACGAGCTGTAAAAACTTGAATAAAACATTGTTACCATGATGTATTACAGTGATTATAATCTGGCAGCTTTGCATTGAATGAAGATCGTCATACCGTCTCATGTGCTTAACCTTAATAATGACGGAGGAGACTGCAGCTCCTGGGTCACGTGGCACGCATGGATGACAGAATGCCTGCAAAACAAGCTGTGTGTGACGCTTCACTCAGCGATGCACCTCTGGGCTGGAGGAGACCCAGAGGAAGGCCTCTCTCGACCTGGAAGTCCCAAGCTCCAGTGTCCAGCCCCTCCAAGAACTACTAGAACTTGCTCAGGAAAGGACATCTTTCAGCCGTTTAGTCGCCACGGTCACTTGATGGCCTTGCGGACATTTGTTGTTGTTGTTTTATATATTTGGCCATCAGTTATTGGTATGCTAGAAGTTTTGGCATTCCTGTTTCAATGGCTTGAAGTTTTCCTGCTTTGAGAAATTTTCAACTTTCTTAGTTTGTCAAATAAGACATCATCTCATTTAATATCATTTAGATGAGATTTGAAGGTTGGCATGGTGAACAGGCAGTAAGATAAGTTATTTGCGGTAGCACCATGTGGTAAATCTTTTTTTGTGAGTATGTGTGGTTCTGAAAAAAAAATGGAGGGTACTCAATGTTTGGACAGCATGCTCTGCCCGTTGCTGAATCATTTATAAATATAACCACAATAGGCTCATAGTATTGAGTTGAATTTTTTTTTTCATTGAGATGAAGTTAATAGTCAATAGCACTTTAAAATTCAACTTGAGTGTCATTATGTGGTCATTTTTGTGATGTAAAAATTTTAACACTTCTGGATAAAGTCTGGAAGTTGTAATAACTTGAAATGTTTCAAAAACTCAAACTGCAAGAAAAACTTGGATTTAGTTAGACTGCTGTATAGACTTTCAGATGTGTATTTATGTAAATTAATCGTAGTACAAGTAATCAATCAGTAAACAATTGAAAGTTCAACAGTTGTTGAACAAACAAGTGCAAGAAATTGATATTTTATTGTAGCATGCTGATAAGCATGTAAATAATAAAATATTTACATTCACCATGCTAGTACATTTCTGGGTGTTACTCGGTTATTTTTTTGCCTAATGTAAAAAATATCTTTTAGTTTGTGTATTTATGTTGTTGGTCATTTTGGGGGTAATTTTGGTGGTGGTGGGGGGGGGGGTCATTGCTTTTTTTCTTTTTTTAAGAATGAATGTGTCTTGAAATATAGCCTCTTGATAATTATTGGATTAATAATTATGGGGAATGGGTCATTTGGGAGACATTCCTATAGACTTGTGCACAACATTTTTCCAACTTAAATGTGCCCTAACCCAATATTCCCTTGTCCTTTTTCCACGAATTTCGGTATTTTTACTAATTAGACCACGAGCAACAAATATAACCTAATTGCGACAGTAAAATTTTGCCTCTAAAGGGGGTCTTCCCCATTAGGGAGACAGGTATGTGTCTCCCTAAAAGCCGGTGTCTCCCTATTATCGAAGAAATTACGATAACGTGTCTCCCTAATGGTACATTTGTAGGAATAAGTAGTTCAACATCTTGCCAATTATTAAATAGCCCTTTCCGGTTGTATGCTATTTTCCTAGAAATTGGGTTTATCTTTAAGTTAGAAAAGTTGATTTGTCATCTCTCCATCACCTACTAACTGTGATAAATTTTCCAACTTTCTGCTTTCTTGTTAAAGTGGTACATATGCAGTTCTTTGTTGCGCTGAAAATCCTTTGTGGATTTTAATTCATTTGCAAGTGAAGCTGCTGATAGAAAAGGATAGATCGTTGCTATGGTAGTATACAAATATTGAACGTTCGTGAGTGCAATGGTAATAATTATGTTATTCGGTGACAGATGAATTATTCCATTTCACGAGACAAAGTCACCATGTAAAAGTCAACCATTGTTTGTTTTATACCACACATTCATTATCTGAGTGATTGGACAGAGCGGCCAAAAGTGTGACCGTGCAAGGGAAGTTCCATTTACCCTGGAATGGAACTTAATTTGAGCGGTGTGGCCGGGCCGTGTGTTGGGAAGAATACTTCAGTGACCGTCCTAGAGCTATGAAACATGGGTGTTGCTAGGATGGGGTAAGGGGGAAGATTGAAAAGAAAAAGGGAATAGAATAGGTGAGATTCGAAGTGAATGAATATGTTACCGTTAATTTAATATATATTTAGCAGTAGGAACTGCCAAAAGGACCCTACGTGTTGTTTGTACATAAATACGTACATGTATTACGTTTATGAACAGTGCCTCCAGGCGTAAAATCATGTCACCACCCCCCCCCCCCCTTTCGATATTTCCTACAGCCGGTGACTTTTTCAATGCTTCTGATGAGTGCTTTGGCATCCTGTAGAAAAAATCCTGGCGACGCCCAAGCTATGAAATGCTTGTGTGCAGCACTCCATTCGCTGCGGCACGTTTCAATAAACAACTTGATGCCAGCAGTGTTACGTGTGTTGTGCTGAGCTCTCAACACCACACTTTTCTCTCCTATAGAGCCATAGAATAAACCAGGGCAAAGCTTCTGTATTAGAACAGATTTAAGCCAAATCTTCAGTTTAGAGAGCCAACTAAAATGTCAGCACTCTCTCTTTTTAGCAGATCTGTTATCATAATGCAACCTACATTTTGACGCTGAACTGCGTCGATGCAAAAAGCAAACAACTGTTAAAAAACGATCCAGTTGTGCTGTCAAATTAAAGTACTAGCTGTGGCTGGTTTTAAACAGAGCCATTTTTCAGCTGAATCATCAGTTCGTGTTCAAAGACTTGTGCTAAATTATTCCTTGAGTGAGTTTAAATTGGTGACGTTTACTCGAACACCGCAATGGGATCAGGCACAACGTCAGTTGAGTGTAATGCTCAGGACACTCTTAACATCAGTACTGAGATGAGCACTGAGTGGTATTATACTCCAACGCACATCCTCTTTATTACAATCATCTTCCCAGTTTTCTTGGGCGTTGGCGTTGTCACAAACTCAACGTTTCTGTTCATCTTGCTTCGCCTCCCCAAGATGAGATCCAAGGCGAATATCTTGCTGGCTAACTTGGCGCTCGCCGATCTGTGGCAGATGAGTTTTTACGTGGGAATGTATCTGTTGATGTATTTTGCCTCCCCGGTCGCATTCTCCCAACCATTTGTAAATTCTGCCGGCTGTGTGAGTTTCTACGTAGCATTAAACATGGGGTACTTCGCATCTGTCGCTCTGGTGACTGCAGTTTCTTTGGAGCGTTACATCGCCCTCTGCCATCCCATGAAGCATCGGACGATTTTTAGCCGGCAGCAGGCTTACAAAATGGTTGGGATCTGCTGGATGGTGGGGTTGGTGTTTTCATGTTCGGTCATGCCCGGTATTGCAATCCTCAACGTGCGATGCCTTCAGTGGCCCGATGTGGACACATTTGATGGGTTCCCATCAGTTTCTGTATCCTGTGATCCGGTACATCCCTGGGTTGGATACTACACTGGGCCACTGGTATTCATCCCATGGCTGGTAATCGTCATCACAAACGTCTACATGTTTGTGGAAATGGTGCGCGCCTTGAACAAACGTAGAGCTATCACGGCTCAGGCTATAACTGGAGCACACCTCAGAATGCTGCAAGCCAGAAACCAGTTTGCGATCATGCTGATCATTAACGGCGTCGTTTTCTTCATCTGCCAGACTCCAATCCGATTACTCCGTCTCTCCGAATGGATCTGCTTTGTCGTTGGTATCCAGGACAATCCCCTTGTCATGAGTGGGAATTACTCATCGTGGATTGTCCTGGTTCCCCAACTCACCAACTGCCTGGTGAATCCGTTAATCTATGGTGTTACCAATGCCAACTACCGGGCTGCATTGCGTCAGGCATTCCAGTGCAGAGTTCAGCCCAGAAAAGCTCCCTCAACTCAACAGCCATGTGCTCTGGTTATAAGGAACAGCCACGCTGATGTAGGAAACCACCATCACGAAGCACAAACTGTCAACCAGCTGTAAGAACTTGAATAAAACAGTGTAGCCATGAACTGTAACTGACATGTTATTCTTTATACAGGTCTTGTAGCTTTGCATTGAATGAGATCGTTATACTGTCTTATGTACTTAACCTTAATAGTTGGTACACATATATTTGGCCATCAGTTATTGTAAGTACCGGTATGGTGGAGGTTTTTGGTATGCCTGATTTCAATGGCTTAAAGTGTTCTGCTTTGAAATATTTTCAATTTTCTCAGTTTCATCAAATAAGGCGTCATGTTATTTAACATCCAGGGTATATTATTCCACTATAGACCCATTGTATTGATTAGTTTATTGAAGTTGAACCATGCTAATAACTTAATTGCTAGAAGATTAAATTGAATTAAAATTCAGTTATTTTTTTTCATTGAGATGAGGTTAATAGTCAAAAGTAATGTTTAAAATTCAACTTGAGTGTCATTAAGTGGTCGTTTTTGTGATGTAAAAATGTTAACACTTCTGGATAAAGTCTGGAGGGTGTAATAACTTGAAGAAAAAAATGTAAATCTTAAACTTCAAGAAAAACTTGGAAATAGTTAGACTGCTGTATAGACATTCAGTTGTGTAGTAAATTAATCGTAGCGTACAAGTAATTAATCAGTGAACAAAAATAATTGAAAGTTCAACAGTTGTTGAACAAACAAGTTCAAGAAATTGATATTATAGTTGTAGCATGTTGACATAGATAATAAAATCTTTACATTCACCGTGCTAGTACATTTCTTGGCAGTTTTTTTTTGGTTATTTGTTTGCGAAATGTAAACTAATCTCTTACTTTTTGTGTGTAGTTGTTTGTTGTTTTGGGGGTTCTTTGGTGATGGGGGGGGGGGGGGGGGGTTTCATTGCCTTTTGGTTGTTTTTTCCCAAGGATGAATGTGTCTTTTTTTACGTTTGATAATTATTGGAATAACCATTTTAGTATGTTTCCTATTATTAAATAACCCCTTGCGGTTCTATGCTATTATCCTCTCTCCATCACCTACTAACAGTAATACATTTTCCAACTTTCTGCTTTCTTGTTAAAGTGGTACATGCAGTTCTTTTTGCGCTGACAATCCATTGCGCAATTAATTTAAGTGGATTTGAATGTCATTTTCAAGCGAAAAAAAAAATGGATAGATGGTTGCTATGGTAGTATACAAATATTGAATGTTTGCGAGTGCAATGGTGATACAAAATTCATTTGGTGACCGATGAATTGTTCCATTTCAGGAGACAAAGTCAACCATGCAACAGTCTACCATGGTTTGCTTTATACCACACATTCATTATCCGAGTGATTGGACACAGCTGCCAACAGTACATGTGACCATGGAATGGAACTTCCATTTGTGCGGTGCGCCAGGCAATGCTTTGGGAAGAATAAATTCAATGACACATGATTGGATGACAAGGATTTATTCAGGGGATTGTAAAATAGTTTTTAGAAGCTGCAAATCGACATCAAAGTTCTGATAAATTAGCAAAGTTTGATGAAAAAGTGTGTAAATAGGTAGGTGTAAACATTTATGGAAAAGTCAACCAATAAAAAAAAAATCAATAGTAGTTGGTCAACAGGGCTGAAAGTTCAGGTTAAAATGTATTCGATTTCACAAATAATGACAATACCAGTGCAAAATGGGAAAAACACTCGCAATTCAATTGGTAAGATTTGTTTTTTGATTTCCACAACTCCGAAAATATTTGCTAAAATAAAAAATTAAAAGTGAGTGGTCTTTAAGTCTTGCATTGTATTCTTTGCTACACAATATAATTTGCTGACAAATACCTAATGAAAAAAAAAATCATTGCTTTGCCTGTTGACTAGGGTCGACTGGGACCAGGCCGGATCCACCACTGCATGCGTCTGATCGGCATGGCAGAGCGTTGCCTGGAGCTCATGGTAGTCAGGGTACAAGACCGCGTAGCCTTTGGTAAGCCCCTAGCGCAGCAAGGGACCATACAGGAAGCCATCGCCGAGTCACGGATGGAGATAGAACAGGCTAGGCTGCTGACTCTCAAGGCTGCTCACATGATGGACACAGTAGGCAACAAGGCAAGTGTTGGGAATGAAATCCATTAAAATCCTACAAAACCCTTCACATCTGTTCAAACCCTACGCAATCCTCCCAAATATGTTACAATCCTACAAAACTTACAAAAATCTTGCAAAACCCTCCCATAGCTGTTAAAATCCTGCAAACCCCCCAAATATGTTAAAATAAAACACTTCGTTTGGCATGAATGTGTCGGATACCACTGAAATCTTACGAAAACCTTCCCAATTCTGTCAAACTCGATACCTGGTTTGGTTTGAGTTTAATTGATTCAGGACTGTTGTGAAGTTTAGCAATGCGGTGAAATCCTACTAAACCTTTCTAAATCTGTCAAACCCAACACCTGGTTGGCATGATTTTGATCGATTGATTCTGGACAGAAGAGGTAAGTTTGGTGAAGTTTGGGAATGCAATGAAATCCTTCAGAAACCTCCAAGTATTAAAATCCCAGCTTTACAGCTCTCCATTTTTCATATATTTGGCAGGTTGCAGCACCCGAGATCGCCATGATCAAAGTGGTCGCGCCCAACATGGCCCAGCGAGTCGTCGACAGGGCCATCCAAGCCTTCGGAGGGGCAGGGCTCAGTGCCGACTGGCCCCTGGCCAGTTTCTTTGCCTGGGCACGGATCCTGAGGCTAGCAGATGGTCCCGATGAGGTCCATAGGAGGGCCGTAGCTCGCATGGAGTTGAGGAAAACACTCAAATGATGGAATAGTCATTCTTCCATAAAAGAAAATCATTTGTATTCAGGCATGCAACTTTTCCTTGGATCATCTGATTTCTTTTCTTTTTTACTTCCCTATGTGTGCCATTAAATATAGAAAAATACTGCACAGAGTCTTAATAAGATTTGAATTTCCTCTTTTTTGGTGACTTCCAGTTGCATGCCTGTGTATTGAAAACTTTCTGTCTACATGAGGTTGAGGGGTAATTTTCATGTCCAGGGAGATTCCAACATAGTCCTTGTGTTCTTGAGCAAGGCATTTTACCAACATTTTCCTCTCATCGAATTGAGTGCACACTGTGGTCAGAGTTTTTCCACTGCTTTCTATCGTGTAGAAACTTGCCAATTTGGAAAGCTTGTCTCTAACAATATAAATTGTATTACAGAAATTATGAGTGAAATATTTTTGATAAATTACTGTTAATATCATGAAAACAATTTCTTTGTAGGTAGAGAATTCTGAATTCAATTATTTGTATTCTAATAGCTGAAGACATTTGTCTTGGAGATTTTTGTATTGTGTGCCTTTTAAGAAATGGTTTAATATTCAACATTCCATTGCTTTTTATTTGGGGGGGGGGGTTGAAATGAATAGGTTAACACATTAAATGTTCACAACTATGATTTGATTTATGCATTTATTGTTTCTAGTTTTGATGTGAATAATGCACACAAATAGAGTAGTCTAAACTTAAAAAACAATGTAAAAGTTATTGTAACCTGCTCCCCTCAAAATGGAAGAAATGTCTCAAAAGTTAGTGTTGGCATTTTATTAGTGCCACTGGATAGAGCCAAAAAAAGAGAAAATTATCCAACACTGCTGATGTTGGAATGATAATTTGTCTTTAAAATTTAGGGGTAAAACTGGTAATTTTGAAGTTTGGAGATTGGGAAAGCTGTAATAGCTAGAAAGTCTTTGTTACTTTCTCATTTTATGGGAGCAGGACTCGCAAGCAGTGCAACCAATCCTTAGAATAAGCCAATTCGTTATCTTGATGAAGTAGTCCATTATCATTGGCTGATAAAATAGCTGACGCGATGTTACACGAATGCCCATTCTGCTTGCAATTAACGCGAAAGCATCATCCGCCCGTCTCATTGTGTGTTCATGCATCTCCGATGAACGTTCAATTATCCCTAATGAGTATGACCCAGCATACGCAGATGAAAACCAAACTGGCTTATTGTTAAAAGACTTCGCTTTAAGCAACTGCAGATAAAGAATTCTTTTGAAGGGTTGTAACAATTTTGCTGGTTTTTTTTTTAATAATAGATAGGAAAATTGAGATATTGTAAACTGAAATAACTTGATATCAGATGAGCACAAATACAATATAATTACTTTCTAATTTATAATATGTATGTTAGTATTGTGTACTTCACTTTAAATTAAAAAAAAAAGACCCCACATTAACCCTTAAGAAAGAATACAGCCACTGGTTTAGCTCACATATTTACATTTGCAAATAAAATATATTTAAAAAAACAATCACCGTTACCAAATTTAGATGGAAAAAAAAAATCATTTAATAAACTGTGCTTTGTAAATAAAAATAAAAAAGGCAATGTTTACAATAATATATGTACCTTTCTACACTACATTTTGCATTGCATAATATTTTTAAAGCATTGTATGTTATAGTCTTTTAAAATGAAACCTACCAACCCCAGTATGGGAAAGAATGTTGCATCTTGACACCACTTTTTTCATCATATATTATCTCAATGAATGTCAGTCATTGCAAAAATGCTGAAAAGAAACGAATCTGGGACAGAGAAACAATTCCAATTTTGTTAGAAAATACTTTGAAAATGCACTTGCCTCTCCATAGACTTTGTACCCAACCAAAGAAGTGGTGTCTGGATACTACATTCCTTCCCCACTAAGCACCGCTGATCTAAGCTTAAATTTACTTTAAAATTACTGTACTTCCTGTTCACTAATTACTGTTGTTTGTTGTGATCTATAAAAATTAGGGATTTTACCTGAACAAGCCTCACTCCAGTTTATGGAAACTATGAGCTGTAAGCTAATATTCTGGGGCAAAAATTTGTTACAAATAGTAAAGCAACAACAGAAATCTAGAGGCTTACATAAGTGTTAGCATGTACAAGTCTAGATGTACACTTAAAGGGTTAGCAACATTTTGCATCTCAGTAAATTTTCAAGGTAGGTTGCAGAAAAGTGTATTGACTGTATAGTTGCAGGATTCTGAACAACTTCTCTGAAATCTTTCTGTGATTAGGGGTGTGCATTAGAACTGGGTACCTGAGTACCTGACCGCTGATGTCAGGAACAGGTTCCAGATTATTGGATCGGGTACCCGTAACCAACTTTACAAATTACTTAGTAACTTCTCATACAATGAAAAGATGAAAACCAGGCTACATGGGAAACCAAAACAGATTTCATGTTTATGTGCAATTTAACGCACGACAGAAAACACTTGCAAAAATTGCAATTTACACCGTAAAGCTACAAAGCCCTGCAGACAACTTCCAGGATTTGAATTTTGGGGTTAGGTTTCTTTTACAGGTACCCAGGTACCCGTGTTTTACTTATTTATAATAGGCTACCCGGTTCCTGTCCTACGCTTAAATGAACACCACTTCCTGTGCTAAAGTAATCATCATTGTTTACAAACTCACTTCATTCAGGGAAGATGACAAGGAAATTGTACGGAATCCTGCAACAATACCCCATACAATGTGCCTAATGTGGACAAACTTTTCCACAACTTATTCCAGATAGTTATGGACATGACTGCTAAGCAGTGCTTTAGTAGTTCATGGATTAATCTCATCAAGTTACTTATTGTGAGTTGAAGTTTTATTAGTTTGATGTGTTGAATGAAGGGCTGATGGAATCGAGCTGCGTTGAAGGCGACGGCGTCCGGATTGTCTGTATCAAAAAGATGGCATTTAAAACTATTAATAAGTCTCCAACCTAGAAACGGACATTTTGGCAATTACAGCATTAATGAAAGGAAGTGTAATGTCCTTGACAGAGCCAATTAACCATGATATCTAATTAATGATTCAGAGAAATGATCCAAAACTACTAGTCTGTAATATCCTTGAATGACTAGATGATGGATGTATAGGGCCTAAGATTTGAACAACACATTTTCAGGTTTATTCACTGAACTCTTAAAAGCTGTCACGGACACTGGAACTGCCTGTTTAAATTGCATGAAACCAGTTTGGGGAAAAATAAGCAATTTTCTGAAATTGGGTACCAATTTTATGAAGCTACTTTGCACATAAATGTGCCTCGATGTAATGGGTAACCACCCAGAAATGGGCCTGATCTTCTGAATCTAAGAACTTTGTATTCCTTTGTTTAGAAAAACAACATGAGTTTATAACTGATACCAATTCAACCATATGAAATGTAATGGTGGTGTAACTTTAAGGGATGTCATTTGACATTTTGTTTGTAAACCTCACCTTGAATTTCCTGCGTAGAGCCTTGGTCATGAGCGGTGTTAGTCCGGTACCCTGACTCTCGATTGGCTTTCCCTTTAGCGGTGTCCCGCCTGGACTGCGGACCATGCTCACCCTCCTGAGGGAGCCTCGGAACTGCAATGCCTCCTGGGAAATCCTGCCAGCCGATAAAGGAGGGATATTAAAAGGTACGTGCATCACTATTAAAATGGATTTACTACCAAAATATTTATATTTCTAAATTTTTGTTAGTAGAAGATTTGAAGTTACAGAATAAACAGTGGAAGAACTTTGAGGTATAAACTAAAAGCACTTTTTATTGAAAATATTTATGAACCCTAACCCTTCCCAATCCTTCAAAGCCCACCAGCAGTTTTTGGAGGATTTTGTAGGATTGAGAGAGGTAGAGTCCAGTCATTGTTACTTTGCATGGGGCTCGGTGCCCCTTGAAACTTGGTAGGTACAAAGACAGTGCCATTGGGTTCCTGCACAGTGGAGGATTTTGTAGGATTGAGGAAGGTAGAGCCCAGCCACTGTTTCTTTGCATGGGGCTTGATGCCCCTTGAAACTTGGTAGGTACAAAGAGTGTACAATTGCATTCCTGCACAGTTGAGGATTTTGTAGGATTGAGAAAGGTACAACCACTGTTACTTTACATGGGGATGAATGCCCCTTACAAGTACAAAGAATTTGCTATTAGTTTCCCACATAGTGGGGAATTTGGAGGATTCAGAAAAGCCAGAAGACAAAATCAAATAAGGGGTAAGGGTTGATAGCAAATTCAGAAACCAGTGCAGGGATGCTTACCTGCTTCTAAGCACCATACTATTTACATTCTCATCATTCGTTCGGTGCAGGGATCGTCTCTTCCTCGGTTTCGCCGTTTTGAGATCGTCCCTGCCTGCCTCGCACATACCATTGGCTATATTCTGCCATGACACAATAAGACAAAACATCTTTTTATCTTATTCAGTAGTAATCCTTTTTAATTTTAGAAAGCTTTTCATTGTTTGGTACAGTTTGTAAAGAGATACCAATGCTGCCCTTGAATGGAAGGGCCAAGTCAGGACGCAAAAATTGAAAAATAAATGCACAAAAATAGGATGTCACACAAATTTGTTGATCCTATACATGGTGTTCAGATGTGCTGTATTCTCATAAAATCTTGCAGATTTTTAAGGTCAACTTGCATGCTGCATTCTAAAAAATAATTTAATTAAACTGACTTTGATCTTTCATGTTTTTTTGTTGTGGGGGACGTTTTTAAAAAGTGATAAGTAAAGACTTTGAATTGGAGTGAGTTTGAAGATGCATCAATGCAAATCGCAAAGCAAGGGAAAGGCATGTTACATGTCAGTCAGAGGATTACTATTATCTTTGTATTTATAACTAGTTTCGTGCAAAAAAATAGACCATTCCTTATGGTTGAGATGGAAGTGTCGTGTAGGGTCTGGTAGAGCAAGGGTGAAGGCACCCATTCTCTTGATGTACCTTTCTGTCCTTGAACGTCTTTTTCAGCTGGATATTCATAATATCGGTGAGCGTCACGACCGCACGTTGGTTAGATATGTCCAAAGATGGTTGCTGTAGTAACAGAACACATTAAAATGAAACAAATCTTGCCAAATGTTGAATTAAATGAGGCATGAATGGATGGATCTTATTTAAGAAGCGGGGGCAAAGTCTCATTCTAAAGTCATTAAAAACATTGACTTGGTTCTCTTTTGATCAACCGAATGAGAATTTACTGTATTTTGGTTAGTTGTTACAGCTCTGAGAAGAATTGAATTGAGCCTTGTTACAGGGTTCCCTTCCCACAGAAATCTTAAAAAGGAAATTCCATGACTTTTCCAGGACAAATATAAGGGCTTCCCATGACCAATTTCTTCCGTGTATTGGCATCGTAGATAACTACATGTATTTACAATGCAATGGCCTGTAGTCACACTAATAAGAAAGGTCTACACAGTGTGCAGTATTACGATCAAGAAGATGGCCTCCACCTCCTCACAGCCATCCGATACTCCCACTTTATCATGTTAAACTTTACACATGGCTGCCAAACACTTTTAAGGCTCTGAACACTACTTCAGCTATAAAAACTGCATGTAAGAATAGCACAGGACAAGAGTGATGATACCAAATCGATCACTAAACCATGTGATCGCTTCGGCACCAGCAATCTGGTCCCAGCTGGACGGTTACGTCATTGTGTCTCCCTAGACTACAGCCAAATATTACGCAATATCACAAATGGGTTGTGCAGATTTCCATGACTTTTCCATGACTTTCCATGATTTTCCATGATGTTGGGAACCTTACCTGTGGGTTTTTTTTGATAGTCAGTGAGACATACATGTACATACCTTAGCTTGTTGGTCAGTAACTTTCTTCAACTTGACGTTCATGATATCCGACAGTGTAACCACAGGTCGTTGTTTACTGCTGTCTGCCTGACTGTCTTTGGCTGCCACTGCCTTTTTCTTGAAGACCAGTGCTTTTGTGGGCAGTGAGATCGGTGGTGGTGGGGGTGGTGGCGGGGGTAGGGGAGGGGCGGTTGGTGGGGGGATGGTTGCCCCGGCCTGCACCCCTACGGTGCTAGCAGGTTTGGAGGGTTGGGATGGGATGGGTCCCGCTGGTTGTGGGGCTTGATGTTCAGCCGTGGTGGCAGGCCCTGCGTTTTGGCAGCTGCACATGCAGGCTGGAGTTAACTTACTGCTCTCAATTTGCTACAAAAAAAAATAAACAGAGAGAAGGCAAACTCAGTAAAGCTGGTCCTACAGTACACAAAATTCTATTCAACAGATTCAGAATGGCTATTCACTGGAAGTCTACACAGTGGCACTGGTCAGATTTAGCCAATTCATTTGCGTATGGCGCTGTCCGGCTCACAAGTGACAGTCTGCCAGTCAATGGGCCGGATTTAGGCCATTACTAGCATTACAAGGTAATCTCATACGATAGCACTGCCCCTCTTCCCAAGTCTAGTCCAAAGTGACAGTCAGTCAGTCAGGGAACACACCATGTTCAATATTCTAGGAGGAACCGTAAAGGCTGATTACAATGGCTAGGCTACAAGGCTGGCAGTCACACCTTTATCTATGGGAAGTGGATGCAGCCACTTCCATAGACTTGTGTCATATTCAAAGCCGTAGCCAAGCCTAATTTACTCACGGCTTAACAATTTGAGTTTTGATTTGCTGTTATACCTTGAGTGTGTGTATCTTGAGTTGCTTTATCTGCTGATGCAGCAGCATGAGTTGGTCCTTAGTTTCTCGAAGCTCCCTCTGATAGACCCTGGACGGAAAGACAGTGTCTTTCACCCAGTCAAGGCTCTGGGAATAAAAAGGAAAAATGGAAAATTTTCACGAGTACAAAACCTGTGTTATGAGTGTTAAGGATTGGACATTGTGATGTTATTGTGATGTTAAAAAAATTGTTTTCATGATGATTAATTTTTTAGCAGACAAACCTGTGTGACTTGGGAACTACACCACCTCCACGCACCGCCGAGTTCAGGAAACGGCAACCAAGACGTGATGCCAATATCCAGTAGGGGCAATGGTACGGGGATGTAAATATCAGACTCACTTGTATCCATGCTGGATCTATTTCCAAAAAAATAAAAATATAAAACAAAACAATTCTGGAGTATTAAATGTTAACTCATCACAACCGGTGAAAACTGTTGTGCAAATGAACAGATGTTTTCATCGGCCGACGTTATCCTGCCCACACTTAGCCTAAGGAATACACATGTACATTTAATAAGGAGTAAACGTTTTCAACAGAAGTTTTACCCTGAAGAATTCTGTTGTTCCTTTCCTTCCTGCTGTAGCTGGTACTCTGCGAGTTGGTCCCTCGGTTTGTATGGGTGGTGACGTCGTCGGCGACGCTTTGAGTAATACGAGGTATGCCGGCGTCTGTGAGAGCCAGCCATGTGAGTCGCAGATCCTCACGAGTCAGTGACTAGGTTCTTGCAGTTCACAAAAGAATTGCTGGAATATTTGATGTGGACAGCCACCTGCAATCACTGATGAAATTTTTAAAAAAGTAACTGACAATAACATTGATAAAACAAATATTTTTTTAAACAAATATAAAATTTAGCTTAGAATCTGCCTAGCCTAGGCTTACTTAACTACACTGGATTTTTGTGATCAGTGAAATTTCAAATCATCAACAAAAAGACAAACGAAATAGGCCCAAAATCTGAGCAAAAAATGTGGTCTTCTTTACAAAGTTTTTCAATATGACAGTGATGACACTTGATACTGACAGTGACAGTTTACCACTTTCTGTATCTGAAAAAGTACAAGGATGTGACACTTTGCATGATTTGTGCATGGTGTAACATGTATCATTATTTAGATGAAATACTTTATTAAAAATATGATACTTAATTAAAGGGCAAAAAAACTAAAAACACAGTGATTTTTTGTAAACATTTATTTAATAATTTTATTTCAAAAGTTTGACTTGTCATTGTCATGATTTAATATTTGATGATTGTTGTTAACGGTCATGACGGTAAACATGGTAAATGCCCATTAGTAGACAACCTCTAGAATTAGAATGGGGTACCTTCTTCAAGAAGTAAAAGCCCATATCATAACATGTCAATAGATCATCACGACAATCATGCAAAAACAGTCAGTATCATGTGTACTGTCCGGATACTGGCCCACACACTTGTCAACACTGCACAGATCATTTCAGATGAATCATTACTTGTTAATAAACTTACAACAATCAACAGGATATTTGCAATAAAAATCATACTTACATCCTCTTTGCTTTGGGCTTGTTTCCAAATACACCGAGTGCTTGATTTTGCTCGTAATTTCAGTCACCAAAAACGATTTTTCAAATCTCCCGCAACTTCCAATGACTTCGGACGGGCACAACGAAAATTTTGAACAGCTGGGAGTACGTCGTGTGCCCAATCGCCTGGATGCAAATTGAACGGTTTTTCAATCGGCCGCGGGGACCAGACTGCTTTAATTAAAGGTAGTAAATGTACATTCGGGCAATTATATGACATTGCTTGATCCTTTAATAACGTGAAACCGAAAGTGTTATTTTAGTAAAATGTTTGACCTGAAATATCTTTTGGTATTTTCCTACCAAGTTTTAAAGATGAGTATTTGATACATATCACAGAAATGTGCGCAATTGGCGGTTTCGAACTTACAGGTAAATTTAAGACTACTCCTTTAAAGACAGGTTGGCATTCGGCACGGTAGTCGGTTTCCAACAGACGTCATTACATTATGGTTATGTTGTGGCATAATAAGTCTGGGTGCCGCGCACACCAGGTTGAATGAAAGTAAAACGTAAGAAATGAAAACAATCGTATGATTTTTGTTCATCATGTGACATACGCGTGAGTTAAACATTTGGCAACAAGTTTCCTGTTCAGGGAATGCTACCTTGGCTTTTTATTGGAATAAGGCTCGTGTTATTGAAGTAAGGAAGGCTTTGTGTGTGTTGGTGTGTGGACATGGTGGTATTTTCATTTTAACTGCTTGTTTGTATTTGAATTGAAAGAAGTAATTTTATTTCGAAGTGGCTAGAGTATCGTTACGGCAGCCGTTGTTTAGCGCCCTCTACGATACTTTTTTGATTCGCACGCAGGTACCGGGTATGTATGTAATTATTTGTTTCCCCACGTTTTAGCAAGCAGTGCGACAGCTCAGTCGATAGAGGGTAGGATTTTGCACCGCGAGGCGCGAGGTTGCGGGTTCGCATCTCAGTTTTGCACTCAAATTTCCCCTTGTTTAGCAAGCAGTGCGACAGCTCAGTCGATAGAGGGTAGGATTTTGCACCGCGAGGCGCGAGGTTGCGGGTTCGCATCTCAGTTTTGCACTCAAATTTCTTTCCTTTTCTTACCCGAGGCTTTGGAGGATTTTTTTAAAAAGGGAAATAAAGTCCGAATTTCATATTAACGTTCAAATTCACTTTTTTCCTTCTAATTTTAAATTTTATTCTCTTGTTTTTATAAAAGTTGCAGAAGGCCGTAACGATAGAAAATGGGAAATGCGTTACGGCTGCCGTAACGATAGCCACTGCGATTTTATTTTGCCAACGTTTGTCATGTTTTTATTTTTTTTGAAGAAACTTGCACCATTGCCAAAACCCTACTCCTTTAACTAGTAAGAAGCCCGCAAAATTGCCTGCAGCACAAAACACTAATAAAGTACAAAAACGTCCATCAAAATGGAGACATTTCACACAGAACTGCTGCACAGTTTGCCCCTATACTCCGTACTTTATCTCTTGACATACTCACGTATCATGCGCAGAACTAACATAGGCGGATTCTGTCGGTTTTTAGGCCAAAATGATGAAAAATATGCCCTTTCCGCACTGAGCCAACCTGACACTTGAAACGTGCACGCATATGATCGAGCGATGATTTTCGGTTCGCTCGGAGCGCGCCGCGGGGCGTACGGTTGAAATGATAGTATGTGCATGCGTACAAGTGCATTTGTTATGCAAATCGATCTTGTCGCTCCGGCGCGGGAAGTGTAATGCGACGGCTGTTTCTTGTTCAATGAATTCGCCCAGACTGTATGGTTGCACATATTCCAAAAATTTGGGACTCTCAATCCTGTGATGAGAGTCCCAAAACTTAAGGTAGTGAAAACTAGCAGTACATGAAACTAGACTGGCACCTGAAACAACAGTAATGACAAGCTCCTCAGTTCAGACAGTAGATTAGTCTGCGTAATGTGTGGCCAAAGGTACAGCACATCAATACCGACGCCACACTAGTGGGGCTGAGTTTTAGTGTGAAGTTTGGGAAGTATTTGGAAGTAAAGTCCGAGAACTATTCAGTTGACAACTGACATATTGCACAGTATTTGAGAGTTCCGAATTTTCGGACTAGAAATGATTGTATAATTGATTTGCTTTTGAAACTGAAACTGAAATGCTGAAAACAAAGTAATGCAGTTTTTTATTACATTGGTTTTAAGCAGAAGGAAAAGGCCCTGGATGTACTTGCACAAACAAGTATCTAAATGCCTACATTTTTCTTTTTTTTGTCATGGGTGCGAGTGCTTTTGAAACTGAAACTCAAATGCTGAAAACAAAGTAATGCAGTTTTTTATTACATTGGTTTTAAGCAGAAGGAAAAGGCCCTGCATGTACTTGCACAAGGAAGTATTCAAATGTGTACATGTATATATAATTACATTTTGTTTGTTTTTTTCTTTGTTTTGTCATGGGTGTTGTATTAGAGTTTGTTTTGAAGGGTTAAGAGTTCGTTTTTGTTAATCTGTTTTTTTCTCTCCAAATGACCTGGTTAGTTTCCCCCTTTATATTTGGTGTCTATTTATAGTTTGAAAGAGTTGTATATCCTGCTTCAAATACAAGGTATTCAGCAAAAAAGTGCTTAAATAGTAGTCCGAATATGTGGGATTTTCAAGTCTCAATACTGTGTAAAAGAGTCCCAAAACTTTAGATAGTAAAAACATGCAACACAAGAAAATAGACTGGCACGTGAAACAACCAGTCCACACACAGTGTCAGACTCCCTAGTAAAGGAAGTCACAACAAACATCTGGTGCCCAGACTGTATTTCCATACATTCCCTGCATACATACCACCAGACTACTGCAATCAATCTTTGTTAAAAAGTTGGACATGTACCAGTCTGGTCTTTGGAATCAAATTGAAATCATTTGGCTTCACTCTCGGGTGCAAAATATTGAAGGGAATGTGTCTCCCTTAAAAATGTATTGGAAATTTCAAAATTTCTCTGGTGAAATACTGAGGACCCTGGCTTTGCCTCATGAACATTTGGAGAATTTTGTTGGCTAAAGAGTGAGTAAAGTTGGTGTGATTTTGTTTTGCATGTTTTTCTGCACTCGATGTCCCAGTCTGGTTCAGTACTAGTCGTGTTAAATGGTACTAAAGTAAATTCTTGCCATTTTTACCCCTCAACCGAGAGGCTCGAGGGGTATTGTCATCGCCTACGGCGTCCGTCCGTCCGGGCGTCCGTCCGTATGTCGGGGCGGGCGGCCGTCTGTCCGGGCAACTTAGTTTCCGGATGATAACTTGAGATAGAAATGTTGTTTGGGATTGTAACTTTGGTAGGGGGTTGCCCTTGGGAGTAGACAAGTAAGAATTGGTTTTGGGGTCAAAAGATCAAAGGTCAAGGTCACCGAGGTGAGTTAAATGTAAATGGTTTCCGGATGATAACTTGAGTTAGAAATGAGATTTTGGTGTCTAACTTTGGTAGGGGGTTGCCCTTGTGAGTAGGCAAGTTGGGATTGGTTTTGGGGTCAAAAGGTCAAAAGTCAAGGTCACCGTGGTGAGTTAAAGGTAAATGGTTTCCGGATGATACCTTTAGTTAGAAATGAGATTTTGGTGTCTAACTTTGGTAGGGGGTTGCCCTTGGGAGAAAGCGAGTTGGGATTGGTTTGGGGGTCAAAAGGTCAAGGTCACCGTGGTGAGTTAAATGTAAATGGTTTCCGGATGATAACTTGAGTTAGAAAGGAGATTTTGGTGTCTAACTTTGGTAGAGGGTTGCCCTTGGGAGTAGGAAAGTTCGGATTGGTTTTGGGGTCCAAAGGTCAAGGTCTCCATAGTGAGTTAAAGGTAAATGGTACCCCTGATGATAACTTGAGTTGGAAATGATATTTTGGTGTCTAACTTAGGTAGGGGGTTGCCCTTGGGTACAGGCAAGTTGGGATTGGTTTTGGGGTCAAAAGGTCAAAGGTCAAGGTCACCGTGGTGAGTTAATGGTTTCTGCATGATAACTTAGTTACACATGATATTTGAGTTTGGAATGTCAGTTTGCCCTTTTCGACAAACTCCGGCTGAGGGGTTTCAACAGCAACGCTGTTATGTTTTGTGTTATCTTTAATCCTGAAGCAGACACTGTCCTGACTGTTGCCAAAATGGCCGCCAGTAAGGGAATTGAAGATGAGCCATTACTGAGATCGCTGGACTCGCCAGTAGAGGAACGACCCATCGATAACCATGTCCTGCCCGAGCCTGAGGATCATGATTTTGCAAGTGATGTGCCCATCACAAACCCCGGGAGAAGGGCCTACATATCTACCATCATTCTCTTCCTGATCAACCTGCTCAACTACGTGGACCGTTACACGATCGCAGGTAAAAAGTAACAGGTTCTAAGACGGAACTGGGCACAGGCAGTAGTGGAGAAAAAAACACAAGAAACAAAAGGAATGATTTCTTTCACAATTTTCAGATTTATGGACATTTGTAATTTTTCATACGTCTACTACACATTTTTTGAAGAAATAGTATAGAAATCGTGGAACAAAAGATTTTTTAAGGAGGAAAAAAATTTGGCATCTTTTATTTTCACACCTTCAAAGCTCAAAAATTTAAACTCCTTTTTCTCAGTAAGTTACTTCCTTGACATGTCCATAAATGCGAAGTTCAAACGGCCATAACTTGTCAGTGGAATGTGCTCTTTCTCGTACCGGCAAACCTTCCTTTAACTCTAATGTACACGTACCTGAATCCATCAAAATTCATACCCCTATTTTAGAGTATTTCAGTAATTCAGGATACGTGTACCTCAATATTGAAAACGGGGATTTTGTTGGAATCAGGATTGTAAGCCTACCTAAGTTACTGCAGGATTTCGATGGATTCAGGATACCTCTATACTGACATGACTGAGCAGTCACCAACACAAACATTTGTGTGCATTACACAATAGGTGGATTTTGGCGGATTCAGGATCTTTCTAGTAGAAGTGCTCAAGGGGTTAGGGTAATCCTCTGCCCAGGTCTGTCTCATTTTGCCAGAATGCCTCACAAATAATTTTGTCCCAGTGAAATATTTACATTGGAATGCCATGGTAGCACGAGGTGTGTCTTGGCCACTTGGGTCTCAAAAGTGACCAAAAGCACCCTGTCATGTTCGCGTACAGAGCTCATCTCCTTTGGATCCCAAATTTAGTGCAATTTAACAAACGTTTTACCAAAAATCATCTTCCAAATGACCATTATGCCAAACATGCTTTCGTGAACCCCATTGTGTTTGTTATTAAAATGTAAAACTGAGTTGATATATTCAATTGAAGAGAAAACTAGGTGCTTTCTACTGCATGTAAAAAACTGATTTCGTTACATTTGACCACATATTTACCATGCAATTTTATGACAAATTTCATTTTTTCAATTCTTTTGGTCACAGCTAATTTAATCGCAATTCAGGCGACGTACGGTATTAAGGATAACGATAGTCTAGCAGGGCTTGTGCAGACCGTCTTCATCATTGGTTACATGATAACATCACCGGTATTCGGCTTCCTCGGTGACCGCTACCCTCGTACCATCACCATGTCGGCGGGAATCCTGTTCTGGGCAGCCATGACCCTCTCTGGTTCATTCGTCCCAGATAATGTAAGTCCAGCACCTGATTTCATTAAGCGCTGTGACGCGTCGTAACTGGAGTCATAAAGTGTTACATGTTGCGCGTCGCGACTTCTCATATGAACTATTTCATGAAACCTGTGATACATTGAGTGCATTGCAAGTTGCTCGACATCATGTTACAAGATTATGATGTCTTTTTTTATCACAAAATATCACAAAACCATCTTTTCTATAAAGCTAGTGTCGTACAGTAACAAATGAATGTGACCATAATATTTAGACAATGTATGTGAAGTTGAACTTGCGGAACCAAAGTAAATATTTATTAACCTTGAAATACAGTTGAAGTTTTGATGTAGATGTATGTAGCTCACAACGCGAGCTTGTTTTCATGTAAACTGTATCATTTGTCCGCCATTTTGTTCTACGTTTTAAAATCTGAGAGAAGATCCGACCACTCTTTGCTGCATATCAACGACTATTTACTGTACATAGAATAAATACATAAAACAGTCACCGTATCATGCTATAGATACAACGAGACGATGCATTGCTTGTGTGACATGTTTTGTGAAATGAATTTCAGGAGGCGTTGCAGCTGCGGGACATCGTATGTATAGGATGCATTGTAGCAGTGCGATGCACTGTAAGTTATGATGCGTTTCATGAAATTTGGTTCAGATATTGTTGCATTGCTTCTCAGCTTGGCATCAACTTAATAGATTTGACATTGACGCCTTTTCTACTGACATGGTATTAATTGCTTCTTATTACCTTTTCACAGATGTTTTGGTTATTTGTTCTGATACGTGGACTCGTCGGGGTGGGTGAGGCCAGCTACACCACCATCTCCGTCACCATCATTGGTGACCTGTTTGTTGGTAACCGGCGGACTCAGATGCTGATGTTCTACTATTTTGCGGTCCCAGTTGGCAGGTATGTCGGCTGACCCATCTCTACAGCATGACTGTCGAACCGGGCAGTCCTATTGTATAGGATTACACTGTTACACAAAATTGTAAGGCTTTCTTTGTCTTATTAATTTGAGAATGCATTTTTTGATTTGGTAATATGAAATATAAAGGTTTTGTTAAGGGAAAAATTGAGATTTTTTTTTAGAAATTCCTTACTTTTATTTACTTTATTTTTATGTTAGTGGACTTGGTTACATCGCGGGCAAAGGAATTGCGGAGGCCTTCCAAGACTGGCGATGGGCCCTGAGGGTAAGTTTGGAATATACCCCATGTAGGACCCAAAAAAAATCGGTCTCTGGTCAGCGCGCGCGTCGATTTTAATCATGTGCATCAATCCTTTTTTTTTCCAAAATGTTCCGTGGTAGCTCCAACAGCGCCCTCTATTGCCGCACCTCTTCAAAAAATTTTACCAAAGGGTACCAAGGAATGGGAAATGCACCAAGGCAAATGATCGAGGGCACCAAGGCAAATTATGGAGGACACCAATGTACACGAGGACACCAAAAAAAAGCAAAATAGTACCCCACCTTGTCTGTACAATCCAAGCTTGAAAAAAAAAGGCCGCGTCGCCGCATCAATTCCGGAACTTTGGTCTGACCAGAGACCGAGTATTTTTTTTTTTTTTGGCCTAATCGATGTTATATAGACTGATGAAGATGTTGTATATTCTCAAGGGGGATGGATGTTATGTTGAATGTTGGAAGATCCTTAAGGGAATAGATGTATTATTAAATATTGAAGTTACACTGTCCGATTCACTGAGTGAGCTACCGAATCAGTGTTTTTGCAATTATTTGTTTATCCCATCAGGTCACCCCAGCCCTTGGTGTGCTGAGCGTATTGTGCATCCTTTTCATCATTAAGGAACCAACCAGAGGCCAAGCAGAGACAGGGAACCATGCCATCGCAAGCCAACGGTATCTGGAAGATCTGAAAGCTCTACTTAAGAAGTGAGTTCTTTACTACTCAATCTGAGTTGTGATGACTCAAAACATGCCTGTACAAAAACACTAATGAGTCCTCAACCATAACAGAACTCAACCCATCAAACAACAGCTTGTTTTGTTGGAACCTGTCAGGATGGGTACAGTACCCCTAAACTGACAGTCTTTTACATTGGGTTGGCACACCTCTAGACTCAAAGTCTGATATATGTGTGTGCAGTTTCCCATATGGTGTTGGAATTTGCCAGGATGAGTATGGTTTCTAGTAAATCATGCTGGGAGTTGGAGTTAATGGAGTTTACCTAAAAAGGTATTTATGAACAGGGATAATAATATGGTGGAACACTAATAAACATGAAGTTTAAAACTGACCGCGTGAACTGTTTACAATTTAAATATTTGGTTTTGAATATTTTTAAATGCAATTTTTTGATACTAGCAGTTTTTCTAAAGTTATATGTGAATAATGCTTGTTTTTTGTATTAGAAAGGAATCTGATTGCATTTAAGTCAACACTGGAGTTGGGAAGTGTCCTCTTCGACGCAAACACTTCATGCTCACTGATTGTTAACTGTGTCGATTGTACTTATAAAGAAAATTCTTGTTCTGAGTTATTAAAGGTGTTGTTTTTTCGCTTTGTATCGGACAGTAAGACATACTTGTTTACCACGCTCGGGTTCACCTCCATCGCTTGGGTGGTGGGCGGTCTAGCTCTCTGGCTCGTTAAGCTGATGGAACTGGTATATGACTACAACGGCTGGAAAGATACAAGGTAGGTCTCCAGTGCATATGCCTAATCTTGGCTAAATTTCTTGACGTCCCTTATATATAGTTGAGTTCTTTCTATCAGTAGACCATCTTAGCCATCTTAGAGGGCAATGGTTCCTCAGACTTTGATTAGGTTTGTTTGTTTGTCTGTTTTACTCCCGCTCATGTGGAGGATAAGAAACACAAGATACTTTTATTTTTAGCAAAATACATTTTTATTTTGGTTCTTATGGGAAAGATCTGTTGAGATCAGTTCTATGCGACTGATATAAGATAACATTCCTCTGCAAAACACAGTGTTGTGGGTGAGGTGCTTGTGATAGATCACAAATGCATCACAAGTCTGGTCACAAGTAATTCACAAGTTAAGTCACAAGTAAATCACAAGTCCAATTTCAAGTCTGGTCACAGTTCATTCAAACAGCTTGTGATATTGGACATGATATTGGACAACTCGTAATTGATTTGCGACAGACTTGTAATGATTCGCGATTCATCACAAGTACGTCACCTAAAAACACTATAAAACAGGCACCAGATTTTTAAGTCTCAAACCAAACTTTCTGAATGTGAGGGAGGGACATTATCACTATAGAAAGACATATATATTGCAGACCTTCATCCAATTGTCACATTTTTATGCCCCGCGGCGAAGCCGAAGGGGCATACTGTTTCCGCCTTGTCCTTCCGTGGGTGGGTGTGTGGGTGGGTGTGTGGGTGAGCTTGTCTTACATACGCAGTGTGGACTTCCGAACAAAAGACGTCCACATAATGTAGGTAGCACCGACGTTGTGTGGACTTGCCCCACGTCCACACAGTGTTTCCCCATTTCTGGAAAACAGGTTTAGAGGCATTTTTGGGTTAGGTTTATCTGTAGCAGAATGAAGAGAAACACTAAAGGGAATCATAGAAAAAAAATTGGGTTGAAAGAGTTTTCACAGTTTGAGAAAAATGAGTTTTTTCACTGGTTTTTCTTAACTACACGAAAGCAATGGAAAGTCCACACTAGTCATGTGAAACAAGTATGGGTGGGTGTGTGGGTGGGTGGGTGTGTGTGTGTGTCCGGATAAATCTTGTCAGCGCGATAACTTGAGAAATACTTAACATATGAACTTCAAATTTGGTTTGTGGATTGTTCTTGGTAATCCTAAGAAGCCTTTTGCATTTGGGGCCAAAAGGCCAAAGGTCAAGTTCACAGTGGCTAAAACAATAGAAACCTTGTCAGCGCGATAACTTGAGAAATACTTAACATGTGAACTTCAAATTTGGTTTGTGGATTGTTCTTGGTAATCCTAAGAAGCCTTTTGCATTTGGGGCCAAAAGGCCAAAGGTCAAGTTCACAGTGGCTAAAACAATAGAAATCTTGTCAGCGCGATAACTTGAGAAATACTTTACATGTGAACTTCAAATTTGGTTTGTGGATTGTTCTTGGCAATCCTAAGAAGCCTATTGCATTTGGGGCCAAAAGGCCAAGGGTCAAGTTCACAGTGGCTAAAACAATAGAAATCTTGTATTTATTCTGAGATTATTGGGATTAGGGATTAATTCATATAAAATCTGCAGAAGACACTAATGCTGTCAATAAATGTTCCATGTGACCAAGGTACATGTAAGTTGATGTTAAAAGAGTGGTGTTATGTCATGGGAACAGTCACGGTTGCGGGGCATTTGTGTTTGTAAACACACCTGACTTGTTATTACAAAATTCACAATCTCATCCCTATCTCATTTCCAGTGTCAGTTTCATCTTTGGTGCTGTGACGTGTGCGGCAGGTTTCCTCGGCGTGGCCCTAGGGACAGTCGGAGCCCAGGCGTACCGTCGCTACAATCCGCGTGCCGACGCGCTGGTCTGCGCATTCGGGAATATCCTGGCTGCGCCGTTTCTCTTTGTCGGACTCACTTTTGCTGCAACGCAAGTAGGATTGGCATGGGTAAGTACAAAAATGAAAAGATTTTGAACTCTTGTCTTTTGAACTGGTGCCTCTTTTTTTTGTGACTTGGGAGCGTACTTGAGTCATTGATCCATCTGCATTGATATATCTCCAATCTGCAGTCATGAAATCAAAAAGAAGAAAGAAATTAAGTTCATACCTAACTGGCAGTAATAATTTCTGTAAAACTTGTTTGTACTTTTTTCTTTACTTTTGTACGTTTTTTTGATTTTGCACACATCGATGACAGTTTATTACTTTTACTACCAAAAATACAGTTTTGTAATATCGTTGTTTTTAATTGCACACTATTGTTTTTGTTTTTTGTTTTTTTCATTTTAATAATCAAGACCGGCAACAACAAAAAACAGAATAACTCATTCTAGCAAGTGGCAGCATTTTTTAATTTGAGAATAACGTTACCAGCTTTTTATACAATATGGAAAGTACATTTACAAACCAATTCTTTGTGAATTTCTCCACAGGCTGTTATTCTCTTAGGAGAGATTTGCTTATTTCTGAACTGGGCGTTAGTTCCGGACATATTAATGGTGAGAACTTGCATTTAAATTAATTTATTCTGATCACTTTTGATTTCATTTCAATTGTTCTGATTTATTCTGTTAAAGAGAATATACAACATTTGCTTTTGCTGTAATTTTCAGAAATGGATGGATCTGGGGGTTACTATTTTATAGCAAATATCGTTACACTGACTTGTTTAAAGTTTTGTGTTCATAGATGCTGGAAAAACCAAGAAAAACAAACTAGTTCCTGTAGTCTGGTTCCCTGACCCCACTTATGTTGAAACAGAGCAATTGTAAGGTCAGGGAACCAGGTCAGGGAACTGGCTTGTACCCGTTCATAGGTGTGTAATCGATTGCAAACAAAATGCAGACAAAATTGGGGGCAGTAGTTGAAAAGAGCCAGTTTTTCCAATGCTGGTCGACCATTAGAAATTGACACAAAATATCACTTTTCTTGAAAATGACTGCACACCAAGTGCTATGATTTCACAGGATGCTTTAGACTGTCATTCACTAACAGTGCAGTAAGGTATTTCATAATAATTTGGTAGTTTTGTTTTGCATGTTTTCAAATGTAGTATATTCCCTTTAAACAAAGTGCACTTATTGCATAGACAAATGTTTAAAATTACCCACTACTGTATATACTTTGGTACCATTCTTAATATATTTTATGTTCACAAATTTTAAATAATGTTTTCCTTGGCATTTATATGGTATCATTGCGTAGATCTGTACACTGCACATTTTTGCACCATGGAATATCCTGAAAATAATAATAATTGCATTTGTAAATGAGCAGTAAGATTATAAAAAATAAAATGGTTATCCTGTGTGCCCTCTTCGGCAGTAAAAGAAAAAATTGTTGGCATTAATCTTTTCAGCAAGTTTTGATACCCGTCCGGCGATCTACGGGCAACGGCATGCAGCTGTTGTCGGGTCATCTGTTGGGCGACGCGCTCAGCCCATACATCCTTGGTGCTGTAAGTATACTCATAGCCCCCTCTCTTGGTGTCGGAAATTGGCAGGCAAAAATGTAAAGAACTTCTTGTAACCAGGGGTGTGAAATCTCAGCTTAAAAGCTGATTTCAGCTTTGTTTTGGATTTTAGCTTTTTCCCTCACTTGCTGTGTACAAAAGTATAGGAGATTTCCAAAGTTCAGCTTTTGTACACCTTTTTCAGCTGTTTTCAGCTATTTTTATCAGTGGTCACTCACATCCCTGTGTAACTTTGGCTGGTCGAAGTGGAGTTGTTGATTATATATTTATACCCAAATTCCTTTTGTTATTATTATCAATAATCAGTTGTGGTAATGAAACCGAGGATTCCTCAAAGTGCCCTAGGCACTTTAAATTAGACGTAGAGAGAAGACAGAAGAAATTACAGTTTTATCATTAACAGTATATTAATTAACACTAATCGCCAAGGCCCTGTTGGCTAGGATGCATCCTCAATCCTCCAAAATCAAACAACCACTTTTAATAGATTGAGGCATTGCGGATGATTTTCAGAAGCAGTGCGGATGATTTCCAGTATATGTGCCTTGGTTGTGGCTGAACAATGCATGGTACAGCCTACGACCTCAATAGAGTACTGATATACAAATATTGAGTGGCTCAGTGTGGAATGGGAGGAATATTATCGCAAGAAATATCTTGACTTTTCCATTTCACAAGGCGAAGCCGAGTGAACTGGAAAAGTCCAGATTTTACCGCCACAATTTAAAGCCACTCAATATTTGTTTTATATAACTGATATATAGATCTTTGTCATTTGATATATTTGAACTTTTATTTCAATACAAAACTGGAGGAAAATGTATTTCTCTCTTCCAAACCACCTCTTCACGAAAATGTTTGAACCCAGTGCTGTAGCGCTGGCTCTTTGGAACAATACACACAACGCTGAACGCACACACCAGCATGCATTTGCACACAAATATCATGGAACAAGTATGATCCTAACTGTTCAATAGTATTTCCCATTCCCCATGGGCGGATAGTACTTTTTGAGCCGCGGCGTGAATGGGAGCAATAATGAATGTCACGTGATGTGAATTCCACCAATCAAATGACAAGGATCTGTATGTCGGTTACATAAAGTGTGACGTTAGCTGTCATTGTTCTGGTTCACTCTGGTTTGCGCTGATGTCGTCACACACTTAAGCTGTGCGCGTGGAACACAGTACGCGGCGCACTTCGGTACTCTTTACAATGCATCCTCCAAAATCAACTGACACCTTTTTGCAATTCCACTTCAAACTTCCTAAATCTTCCCAAACTGCCTGGTTGATTTGGGAGGAATGAGGAGGATTCGGGTTGATCAATAAAAGCTCTAGTACATGTAGGCATTTGCTGTGTGTTTATGTTTCAGGTTGCAGATTCGATCCGCGGGGGCGGGCAAACCTACTTCGAGCGCTACCAGAGCCTTGCCTACTCTCTGTACATGGCCGTATTCTTCTCCGTGATAGGCGGGGGATTCTTCCTAGCGGCTAGTCTGACCATCGAGGGGGATCGGGAACACATGCAGGCAACACTGAGAGGTAAGTCTGCCAGATATACCACATGAAAAACTTCCCAAAACATGGTGGTTTTCAAATTATGGATTTAAGGTCTGTGCGTCAGGGACACACTGTTTGCGTGCACTGGTTTTCGAGTCAAAACATGAAGTAGATACTGTTACATTGCACAGTTGAACAAAGAAATTGACTGGAGCGGGGTTTGAACCTGTGACCTCCAGATTGCCGTTCCGTTGCTCTACCACCGATCTTTCCAGCTCTATATTGGAAGTTTCTCATTTTTGTCAATGTCTGGGGGAACTGCCAACATACAACTTGAAGGCTCAGTGCAGGCACAGTATTCCAGAGGTCGCAGGTTCAAACCCAGCTCCAGTTAATGCCTTGTTTCAATTTGAAAATTGTTTAAATGCAACCTGTCAGTCTCTAGTCAAGGCTTGCTTTAAACACACACATTTTGTTGCACAATATCGTTGTGTCCGTGTCTCCTATAATGGCGTGTGACATCATGTACGTGAAACGCAAGTATTCAATGTAAAAAGAGGTCGTATCTCGCTTAAAGTAACCTGGATATACCCACACAGTCAATGGATGTTGAGATACACAAGATACGACCTTGTTGCATGGAGCGTATTCGCGTGAGATACGACTTTCTTGCAGAATCGAGTTACAACCTTGTTACACTGATGCGACAATATAAGCTTCAGTGTCTCAAATAATTAGTTCTTTTGGATGTTTTTGCTTCTCCACAGATTGTCAACAAACAGAAGCCGAGCAAGGCATCATTGTTGTAAGCCCTGTTCAACCAGCCACCATTATCACCAATGAAGATGTCATCATATGATAATTGTAATAGCTAAGGTGATTTATATCTCTTATTCCAAATAAGACGATGGAGTTTCTTGAGTACAGAGTTTTTTAAGACTTCACTATATTTTGATATACAATTTAGAAAGTTGAGACAAAAGTGTTCTCCGTGTTTATTTACAAACCATTCAATGTTGAAATAAGTTTGCAAGGGCAAATCCTGAAACAAATTTTCAGGGAAAACCGTCGGCTTTTGGAAATTCAGTAGTCTTCACTTGTCTGGCTGAATTGCCTTAAAAAAAGAAAGAGCCTTTTTGAACCCAGGATCCTCAATGGAGTACATTCATTTTTGCTGCCCTTTATTGAAAATCCCAACTGTACTTCTGCTTATATCAATCAAGCAGATTTGTACATCCGTGAGCGCCTTGCCTTGTCTAGTTCCCAGACCTATTTACTTAATATTAGATGGATCTTGAATCAGGAGTGCTGAACGGTAACACACAGCAACCATTGAAACCGGTGTGCAAATGAAATGATGTTTTCATGGGCTGACGTACATGTAGGCTCACTCACATGAACAGCATTGCAGAAGTACAAATTAAAGTACTGATCGATAACTGAAATATTGCACGGTCATTTTTTTTCCCCAGCGTTTCAAATCAGTGTTTTCAAATATTACTGCCCCTTGTAGAGTTCCGTTTGTTTTAATTTCTTGTTCAGAATTTGGAATTGATACCAAGTTTCTAAATATTGTATTTTGCTTGAGAGAATACTGGATCCAACAAAATCCATGACAAATGTTTGGCGTACTTCAAGCCCATGGCTATGTTGTTTAATTTGTTGACAGTCCTGAATCCCTAAAATAGACCCTGTGCATTTTGGACCATGACAGTGGGCAGGTTCTTGATCCTGTGTGCTACACTTGATTACACAATTTGTGCCTTCATTTGTTAAACTGAATTTACAGTTAAACAAAGCCTGCCCACTGTCATGGCGGACCGTGCAAAGGGTCTTTGTTTTTTTTTCTAAATTCCCAGTTGCATGTCTGAACTTAATGTCTCAAAAATCGGAATGGTCCCATTCCGTGTGGAACGTTCCATTTTATAGGAACACTGTGTGTTCTCATCGTATTTCCAACAACGCGCCAATCCTGAGAAAGCCTGCATGTGCACATTCTCACATGGGAACGCCTGGCGTTCCCTGGATGTTGCCAGTGGGAACAACACATGTTCCCAATGGGAACAGAAGATGATCCCTGATCGAATGTTCCAAGCATTCTGAATTTTAAGACGTTCCTTAACTTGGATGGGACTCGAACCCACGACCTCCTGCTTACTAGTGGTGAAATTTGAACCATTTGATAACCTAACTTGCCTGGGTTTGGGTCTGATATAGTAGTTGATACCAAAATTAAAGATTTTTTTCTGTAAGATGTAAATTTTGATACAGAGTTTTGCCCTCCACTAAATAAACTAAGTGCCGGTACATGCAATGTTATGGCCAATTCTAGAAAAGTAATTTTTGCAATGAATGTAAATGTGCATATTAAAGTTGAGTAGGGCTTTCATATATTTATACTCAAGACTCCACAATCTAATTTTGAGCAACATGTTTATTCTTTGTAAAGAATAAAACAAATAAAAAATGTATTGATTTGGGGATCAATTTTAGAGACCACATTTCGTCGCTTCAGTGCAACAAGGTCGTATCTCCTAAAATGGCATGAACGACGCAAAACGCGAGTTTTCAAAAGGTCGTATCTCGCTTAAAATAACCCGGATGTACACACAAAGTCAATGGACATTGAGATACGACCTTGTTGCACGGAGCGTATTCGCGCGAGATACGACTTTGTTGCAGAATTGAGTTATGAACGCAAAATGCGAGTTTTAGAATGTCAAAAGGTCGTATCTCGCTTAAAATAATTCGGATGTACACGCAACGTCGAGATACAACCTTGTTGCACGGAGCGTATTCGCGCGAGATTGTTGCACTGACGCGACGATTTTTTTTGCAATGGGTTTCCAGATTATTGTTAAAAGATATAGTTATACAGTATTTGTAGCATAAAGTTTGTTTATGTTTGATACTCTCTCTTATTCAATGGGCCAGGACCCCAAAATTCACCAATTTGTAGCACAAGAGGTGGTGAAATCTAGTTGCTATGTTTGTATTGCTGTACATACCATTTTCTTAATACAGTTCTACATGTAACACTTTCAAAATCTAGGATATGAAAGCCCAATTAATAAGCTTTCTTCTAGTACAAGAATCATTTAAATTACTCATGTAGTTTTTAAGTTTATTAAGCTTTCTTTTAGTACAAGAATCATTCAAATCACATGCGTACTTTTCAAGTTGTGGAATTTTAACCTTAAAAGGGCTGGGGGGGGGCGGAGTCCACCCCCTCAACTTTTTTCGCGTTTTTTTGGAAAACAGCTTTCGCGACCCATGCTGTCCTGACTTTTTAGCCTCGAGTCTTAAGCATCTTGTGATATCAAAACCATAAAATTCGGACCATAAACAAATTTTACCATGAAAACTGAATTTCCCCATATACGTAGTGAACACAAAGCAGCATTACCATTCGTGCATATATGAATAATTAATTAGCCTTAATTTAGTAGTGCGGCATAGCCCCAGCATGCTAAAGAATTGTGCAAATTGTGCTGAAAGCATGGAACTTCGCTTGTTGGTTCTATATGCCATGAAGACAATTTTCAGATATGGAGGCATTTCATATTTGACCTCTGGTGACCTTTGAGAGTTCAATGAACTTTACGTACTCTATTCTTAGTGTTTGTTCTTCAATTTGTTCGTCAAAACTTCACTTCTAATGACCCAAGTCTGTGTCATAGGTCTTCATACAATGAACATAATGATCAGATGTGGGAAAAAATGCATATTTGACCTCTGGTGACTTTTGAGAGGTCAGTGACCTTTGTAAACTTGTTTATAGCTATTTTAAAGATTTATTCTTTAAACCAATCTTTTTTTCATGATTCATGTTATGAAAGGTTTTTATGCTATAAAGAGAATGTTCATAGGACATTTTATATTCAACCTAGCCTACCTATGGATATTAATACGATCTACACAATTGTAAATGCCACTTTTTGCATGACCCAAGTCTGAAAGTGGACTCTTTGTGCCGTGAAAGAATTTTCAGATGTGGGACAACATATTTGACGTAGTGATACCCTCGGAGAGGTCAATGAACTTTGTATATCTTAGTTGCCGTTATTTTATCATATTTATTCATCAAAACGCCATTTTTTTTGTGACTCAAGCCTCAATAGTGCCAAAGAAGGGTATTGGACCTACATGTTGTATTATACTATCATGTTATGAATTCAGACCCCACAAACATTTTGCAGGTGACCTCTGACCTAAGTTCTCCTTGTTTTATTGGCAGACGCAATATGATGACATAGGAATAGAAATCTGTGGGTCTGAATATGTAATGGACAATGTACATGTGTCAAGCAATATTCACTTTTGTGTATTTATTACACCCTGCTGTATAAAGATGGACTTAGATAACCACGTTTTTAACCTTTTTACCAAGCCTACTGGTCACTGTTTAAGAGTGATGCTTGTCCGATGTGCCGCATTTATTCTTTCGTGTCTGCGTCTGTCCTTATAAAAAGGAAAATTGAGATCAGAGGTCATGCAAAAATTCTTTGGGGTCTGACTTCATGACATGTTGTAGAATAATTATTTAAATACACTCCTTTTGCTCTAATTAGACTTCGGTCATCGTATGAAGACCTCACATGCCATGTTTCATGCTTTATCACAAAATCCACAATTCTGTCCCTATGCCGCACCACTAATTCTAAAACCCTTTGATGGGTAAGTTCATGTTATGTTGTTCTATGTATGTACACAGTTTCACAATTTTTCGTCACTCGATGGCCCAGGTCTTAGAGGGGCGGAATCCCCTTTTAAAATGTAACTGTGTTTAAAATTTGAAAGGTACATGAGCGATTGAATGATTCTTGTACTAAAAGAAAGCTTATTAATTAGACTTTCGTATCCTAGATTTTGATAGTGCTACACGTATTGCAGAACTTCATTAAAATTGTTCCTGCCATTTGGGTTTCTTCTTTTTTTAACTCGCCCTGTACATCTATGAATTACATTTTGATATGATGGCCATTTCATTGTGGTAGCTTATTATTGGTTATCACTCCTTGAATGTGCAGATCCATTTTACCATTAATCCTATGGGTATCAGGGGTGGGGCCACAACCCCACCCCCCATTTGTAATTATTTGTAATTATTCCTAAACGCTTTGGCTGATCAGTAAGAAATTTGGTCATCTCTCTTTATCTATATGATTCAAACACCATTCTATAGCATGCCCACTGTTACCATGGATACCAGTTCAGTTACATGTATTGTAAAACTTTGTTGTTTTTGTGTGTTAAACCATGAACATATGCATTTTGGGAAAGAAACCAATACCTGAAATGCATTTTCGGGTACATTCTTTGAAACTCTATTATTAGAAGGGGTGACATTTGTGTTGAATGCTTGTTGTACTTTTATGCAATTTTATTTTCTCAAAATGGATAATAAAATATTGTTATGATCATAGTTTGGAAAATGGATTTCATTAAACTTTTTTTGTATCCCAATAAACATAGTCTTATGCATGTTTACTTGATTTTGAGGTATTCAAATTGCTTGTGCAAGAGTTGATTTCCTGTAAAATCCAGCCCCCGAAATCCAGGCCCCGGCCCAGCCCCTGGTTCCAGCCCCGGGATCTAGGCCCCTGCCCAGCCCCGGGATCCAGACCCCGGCCCAGCCCCCAGCCCAGCCCCCGAAATCCAGGCCCCGGCCCAGCCCCGGGATCCAGGACCCAGCCCAGCCCCGGGATCCAGGCCCCCGGCCCAGCCCCCCGAAATCAAGGCCCCGGCCCAGCCCCCGAAATCCAGGCCCCGGCCCAGCCCCGGGATCCAGGCCCCTGCCCAGCCCCGGGATCCAGGCCCCAGCCCAGCCCCCGAAATCCAGGCCCCGGCCCAGCCCCCGAAATCCAGGCCCCGGCCCAGCCCCGGGATCCAGGCCCCGGCCAAGCCCCGGGATCCAGGCCCCGGCCCAGCCCCCGAAATCCAGGCCCCAGCCCAGCCCCCCGAAATCCAGGCCCCGGCCCAGCCCCCGAAATCCAGGCCCCGGCCCAGCCCCGGGATCCAGGCCCCTGCCCAGCCCCGGGATCCAGGCCCCAGCCCAGCCCCCGAAATCCAGGCCCCGGCCCAGCCCCCGAAATCCAGGCCCCGGCCCAGCCCCGGGATCCAGGCCCCGGCCCAGCCCCGGGATCCAGGCCCCGGCCCAGCCCCCGAAATCCAGGCCCCAGCCCAGCCCCCCGAAATCCAGGCCCCGGCCCAGCCCCCGAAATCCAGGCCCTGGCCCAGCCCCGGGATCCAGCCCCGGGATCCAGGCCCCTGCCCAGCCCCAGGATCCAGGCCCTGGCCCAGCCCCCGAAATCCAGGCCCCGGCCCAGCCCCGGGATCCAGGCCCCGGCCCAGCCCCGGGATCCAGGCCCCCGGCCCAGCCCCCCGAAATCCAGGCCCCGGCCCAGCCCCGGGATCCAGGGCCCAGCCCCCAAAATCCAGGCCCCGGCCCAGCCCCGGGATCCAGGCCCCGGCCCAGCCCCGGGATCCAGGCCCCGGCCCAGCCCCGGGATCCAGGCCCCGGCCCAGCCCCCAAAATCCAGGCCCCTGCCCAGCCCCCGAAATCCAGGCCCCAGCCCAGCCCCCCGAAATCCAGGCCCCGGCCCAGCCCCCCGAAATCCAGGCCCTGGCCCAGCCCCGGGATCCAGCCCCGGGATCCAGGCCCCAGCCCAGCCCCCAAAATCCAGGCCCCGGCCCAGCCCTCGAAATCCAGGCCCCGGCCCAGCCCCCGAAATCCAGGCCCCGGCCCAGCCCAGGGATCCAGGCCCCGGCCCAGCCCCCGAAATCCAGGCCCCGGCCCAGCCCCGAAATCCAGGCCCCGGCCCAGCCCCGGGATCCAGGCCCCGGCCCAGCCCCAAAATCCAGGCCCCTGCCCAGCCCCGGGATCCAGGCCCCGGCCCAGCCCCCGGCCAAGCCCCTGAAATCCAGGCCCCGGCCCAGCCCCGGGATCCAGGCCCCGGCCCAGCCCCCGGCCCAGCCCCCGAAATCCAGGCCCCGGCCCAGCCCCGGGATCCAGGCCCCGGCCCAAAATCCAGGCCCCGGCCCAGCCCCCGAAATCCAGGCCCCGGCCCAGCCCCGGGATCCAGGCCCCGGCCCAGCCCCGGGATCCAGGCCCCGGCCCAGCCCCCGAAATCCAGGCCCCAGCCCAGCCCCCCGAAATCCAGGCCCCGGCCCAGCCCCCCGAAATCCAGGCCCTGGCCCAGCCCCGGGATCCAGCCCCGGGATCCAGGCCCCAGCCCAGCCCCCAAAATCCAGGCCCCGGCCCAGCCCTCGAAATCCAGGCCCCGGCCCAGCCCCCGAAATCCAGGCCCCGGCCCAGCCCAGGGATCCAGGCCCCGGCCCAGCCCCCGAAATCCAGGCCCCGGCCCAGCCCCGAAATCCAGGCCCCGGCCCAGCCCCGGGATCCAGGCCCCGGCCCAGCCCCCAAAATCCAGGCCCCTGCCCAGCCCCGGGATCCAGGCCCCGGCCCAGCCCCCGGCCAAGCCCCTGAAATCCAGGCCCCGGCCCAGCCCCGGGATCCAGGCCCCGGCCCAGCCCCCGGCCCAGCCCCCGAAATCCAGGCCCCGGCCCAGCCCCGGGATCCAGGCCCCGGCCCAAAATCCAGGCCCCGGCCCAGCCCCCGAAATCCAGGCCCCGGCCCAGCCCCCGAAATCCAGGCCCCGGCCCAGCCCCGGGATCCAGGCCCCGGCCCAGCCCCCGGGATCCAGGCCCCGGCCCAGCCCCGGGATCCAGGCCCCTGCCCAGCCCCGGGATCCAGGCCCCGGCCCAGCCCCCGAAATCCAGGCCCCGGCCCAGCCCCGGGATCCAGCCCCCGGCCCAGCCCCCAAAATCCAGGCCCCGGCCCAGCCCCCGAAATCCAGGCCCCGGCCCAGCCCCCGAAATCCAGGCCCCTGCCCAGCCCCAGGATCCAGCCCCCGGCCCAGCCCCCCGAAATCCAGGCCCCGGCCCAGCCCCGGGATCCAGGCCCCTGCCCAGCCCCGGGATCCAGGCCCCAGCCCAGCCCCCAAAATCCAGGCCGCGGCCCAGCCCCCGAAATCCAGGCCCCGGCCCAGCCCCCGAAATCCAGGCCCCGGCCCAGCCCAGGGATCCAGGCCCCGGCCCAGCCCCCGAAATCCAGGCCCCGGCCCAGCCCCGAAATCCAGGCCCCGGCCCAGCCCCGGGATCCAGGCCCCGGCCCAGCCCCCAAAATCCAGGCCCCTGCCCAGCCCCGGGATCCAGGCCCCGGCCCAGCCCCCGGCCCAGCCCCCGAAATCCAGGCCCCGGCCCAGCCCCGGGATCCAGGCCCCGGCCCAGCCCCCGGCCCAGCCCCCGAAATCCAGGGCCCGGCCCAGCCCCGGGATCCAGGCCCCGGCCCAAAATCCAGGCCCCGGCCCAGCCCCCGAAATCCAGGCCCCGGCCCAGCCCCCGAAATCCAGGCCCCGGCCCAGCCCCGGGATCCAGGCCCCGGCCCAGCCCCCGGGATCCAGGCCCCTGCCCAGCCCCGGGATCCAGGCCCCGGCCCAGCCCCCGAAATCCAGGCCCCGGCCCAGCCCCGGGATCCAGCCCCCGGCCCAGCCCCCAAAATCCAGGCCCCTGCCCAGCCCCGGGATCCAGGCCCCGGCCCAGCCCCCGGATCCAGGCCCCGGCCCAGCCCCCAAAATCCAGGCCCCGGCCCAGCCCCCGAAATCCAGGGCCCGGCCCAGCCCCGGGATCCAGGCCCCGGCCCAAAATCCAGGCCCCAGCCCAGCCCCCGAAATCCAGGCCCCGGCCCAGCCCCCGAAATCCAGGCCCCTGCCCAGCCCCAGGATCCAGCCCCCGGCCCAGCCCCCCGAAATCCAGGCCCCGGCCCAGCCCCGGGATCCAGGCCCCTGCCCAGCCCCGGGATCCAGGCCCCAGCCCAGCCCCCAAAATCCAGGCCGCGGCCCAGCCCCCGAAATCCAGGCCCCGGCCCAGCCCCCGAAATCCAGGCCCCGGCCCAGCCCAGGGATCCAGGCCCCGGCCCAGCCCCGAAATCCAGGCCCCGGCCCAGCCCCGGGATCCAGGCCCCGGCCCAGCCCCCAAAATCCAGGCCCCTGCCCAGCCCCGGGATCCAGGCCCCGGCCCAGCCCCCGGCCCAGCCCCCGAAATCCAGGCCCCGGCCCAGCCCCGGGATCCAGGCCCCGGCCCAGCCCCCGGCCCAGCCCCCGAAATCCAGGGCCCGGCCCAGCCCCGGGATCCAGGCCCCGGCCCAAAATCCAGGCCCCGGCCCAGCCCCCGAAATCCAGGCCCCGGCCCAGCCCCCGAAATCCAGGCCCCGGCCCAGCCCCGGGATCCAGGCCCCGGCCCAGCCCCCGGGATCCAGGCCCCGGCCCAGCCCCGGGATCCAGGCCCCTGCCCAGCCCCGGGATCCAGGCCCCGGCCCAGCCCCCGAAATCCAGGCCCCGGCCCAGCCCCGGGATCCAGCCCCCGGCCCAGCCCCCAAAATCCAGGCCCCTGCCCAGCCCCGGGATCCAGGCCCCGGCCCAGCCCCCGGATCCAGGCCCCGGCCCAGCCCCCAAAATCCAGGCCCCGGCCCAGCCCCCGAAATCCAGGCCCCGGCCCAGCCCCGGGATCCAGGCCCCGGCCCAGCCCCCGAAATCCAGGCCCCGGCCCAGCCCCCGAAATCCAGGCCCCTGCCCAGCCCCGGGATCCAGGCCCCGGCCCAGCCCCCGAAATCCAGGCCCGGCCCAGCCCCCCGAAATCCAGGCCCCGGCCCAGCCCCCAAAATCCAGGCCCCCGGGATCCAGGCCCCCGGGATCCAGGCCCCCGGGATCCAGGCCCCCGGGATCCAGGCCCCCGGGATCCTGGATCCCGGGATCCAGGCCCCCGGGATCCAGGCCCCCGGGATCCAGGCCCCCGGGATCCAGGCCCCCGGGATCCAGGCCCCCGGGATCCAGCCCCCCGGGATCCAGGCCCCCGGGATCCAGGCCCCCGGGATCCAGGCCCCCGGGATCCGGCCTAGCAAATTCTGAATGGTACCGTTATAGTGGTAAACATTACCGCTACAAATAGACACAATCTTATTTCAAGAAAACTTTTCCAAAAAGGGAGTGAGACAAGAAAACATTCCTTGAAAGTAGAATGATGTGGTTATATTAAGAATTGTAAGACAAATTCTTAAATTTACATTATATTTGTTTACTGTGTTTTTTTTTACTGTAATTTGCGGTTATTCGCTGTTGAGTGAGAGAAATAAATGAACAAATATACAAAAGATTTGAACGATTCAAATTTTCTGAAAAATTCAAATGCCAATTAATATACTACAACAAATTTCATGGGAAGGACCTAACACTTTGTGCAATTAATTTTTTTTTTACAACTTATATGTAAAGGGGTAGTTTCGGAAATATTGTTAGAATTAGAATTAAAAAACAAATCAGGCAAAATTTATGCTGTTGTCAAAATTTTAATCAACATCATTTATTTTCGTACTTTCAGAATGAAACAAATGAAAGTCAAAATGGTATTCATGACCCTTACTTTAGTTTTGAGTAAA